TAAGGAGAAGGGGGAAGAGCAGGCATATCAATCAACTTAACAGAGAAGCTTCTGGAAGTTGTGTGAGGTCAGAAAGGGGCAGGGAGAGTTGCCAGAAGCTATTGGAAGATTTCAAGTTGTGTGTTAAGAGAAAAAACTGTAGGCGATTTACTGAATTGGTACTTGCTGCTGCAATGCTCAGAAACATAAGGATGTAATCTTGAAGAAGAGGTTAGAATGGAGCTGAGAAGACACCAGCATCAAAGAGCAGTAACTAAACCTGACAAAGAGAAGGAACGAAGCTCAAACAAAGAAACCAACAGATCTGCTTTGAGATTTTAAGTAAATTGTGATAAAGCTGTAAGACAGAGCAGCTGTATTAGTCCCACAGTACAAGAAGCAGAAAGGAAGTGAGGCAGCATTGCTTACTACACATAGTGAGCTTGGTTTGAACTAAGTTACCAATTGCCCAGAATTTTACAGGCCCAAATAAGAATTCTGCTTTCTTGGCCAGTTAAAAGAATTAGACGACTGAAGGCAGAAAAACGCCTGAAAAATGTCAGCCAATATTTTGTCAACCTGTCATAGCACGCACAATCACATTGAGGAATTTATTTTGTTTTGATTCCCATATATGCTACCCAATAACAAAAGTCCTCTGGGTGGTTAACGGTAAGATTTAAACTATTGGATGATGATCCAACAAAATCATATTCTGAGTCACCCCTCTGAAATTATGGGCAACTCCATCTATTTCAATGAATCTACTCTGAGTATGCCTTATCACTAACTTCAAGGTATTGTTGAAATTAGCGAACATGCTGGTTTATTGTCTGTTATCATCCCAGAAGGATTGTAGCAAGTTGACGTTAAATGGGTAATATTTCACAATATTTAACTTATGAAACACTTTGCCAATTTAAAAGTTCTATTTTCAATTTGCCTGTGGCCACCTTACAGAGACGGTTACAGTGGTACCTCAGGTTAAGAACTTAATTCGTTCTGGAGGTCCGTTCTTAACCTGAAACTGTTCTTAACTTGAGGTATCACTTTAGCTAATGGGGCCTCCTGCTGCCACTGTGCCGCCGCTGCACGATTTCTGTTCTCATCCTGAAGCAAAGTTCTTAACCCGAGGTACTATTTCTGGGTTAGCGGAGTCTGTAACCTGAAGCATCTGTAACCTGAAGCGTCTGTAACCCGAGGTACCACTGTATTTTAAATGTGACAACAGGAGTGCAAACTTGGGCCTGCATTATTGATTTACTCATTATATTTATATACCATCTCTGAACAAGAAGTGCTCACTGCAGCTTCTGGATCAAGCACGGGGGACAGGGGGACACATTGCTGCAATCCAGTCTTGAATTAACCAATGTATGAACTACTATGGCAAGGCTTTCCTAATCTAAGAATGGACATAGCTGTTGAGCCAGCCGCTGTTGGTAAAAAAACACACACTTCCAGACACTGAGGCAACCTGAGCCTCCAGAGCTGGGTATGGAAGCACCCCCAAATTGTGAACCTGCTCCTCCAGGATGAGTGCAAGCACATCTAGGATAGGCAATGGAACAATTTCTTGGACACAGGAAGCACTCACCCAAAGTATCTCTGTCTTGCCAAGATTCAAGCTCAGTTTGTTTTCCTCATCCATTTCACCACTGTGTCCAGAAAATGGCCCAGGGATTGCATAGCCTCTCCTGATTATGGAGAAACAGAGCTTAGTATTCTCAGCATACTGATGGCACCTTGTCCCAAAACTCCTAATGACTGCTCCCAATGGCTAAATGTAGCTGCCAGGGTCCCCAAAAGCTCTCTCCCAATGCTACTGTCTAGACTTGCTCCTAAAGGTAGGGCTGGAATACAGTGCCACAAATTCCCATTTCCTGGAGCCGGCCCAGGAAGATGCCACAGTTGATGGCAAAGGGCAACTAAGGCCAACTCAGTTCCATGACCAGGCCTGAACCCAGACTGGAATGGATCTAAATAACCTGTGTCCTCCAAGAATACCCGCAGCTGTCCCACCACAGCCCTTTTCACCACCTTTTCCAAAAGCAGGTATTGGCAACTGGCCAATAGCTGTTCCAATCCAAAGGGTCCAGTGTACTCAATACTGGCCCTAGATAAGACAGCTGCCTCAGTATAAGACAGCTTCCTATGTTCCTAAAACAAAAAAATGATTGTCTATAGTAGGGAAATAGGCTCTGCTCTCAGAAACTATCTATCTATCTATCTCTCTCTCTCTCTCTCTCTCTCTCTCTCTATATATATATATATAACCATCCTTTGTTTTCTCAGGGAAAAGGAAATTTGCAGTTATTATGGGGGTTTTCAGCAGGAGTTGCCAAAAGGTTTACAAAATGAAGCTGGCAAGTATCTCTCTGCATGTTTGCCAATATATTTTATTATACATATTACACTATTTACATTCGGCTTTTCCAAATACTGTTCAAAATGACCCAAATAAGGGCTGAATACAAAACACACCGTGCTTTTAACAAGCATTAAGAAAGGGCACATCTTTCTTAACCTCTGTGAAGTCACTAAGGTTCCCACAGTGTAGCAGGAATTTTCAGGCCCAAAGAAAATGTTGGGAAAGGCCTTAGCCTGCAACTGCTGATAGGCTCCTTTGGACCTGCTTGTTTGATTAGTTATCTCATCTTCTCCATCTCAACTTTCCAATGCTTCTAGGATATGCAAAATGTATTTTTATTGCTCATTTTTTTGCTCTGCACATCTATGCCGAGAGCATTTATACAGGTGGTTGAAAAGAACAGATTGCTTTGCTTCCTCGCCCTGTTTCTCGGCGTCAAGACTTTACTATGCACAGCGTGGGGCTAAACAGACAGCAAAACAGGCCTCCAGGACTTGTCGTCTAGAAGATTTGATAGCAGAAAGGAAAAGCTGGCTCTTTCCCTTCACGCACATGTGAGCAAGCACAAAAAAGGATTTTCATCACAAGAATGAACGTGCAGGTTAGAAGGGAGTTCCATATGATCCATAGGGGTTTTTTTTGGTTGGGGGTGAGCCTGTCTTTGCTGATAATACATAGGAAAAATGAAGGGAGGGTGGTTTTTTTCTTTTTGTTTTGCTATGTGGGATAGAAATGGTCTTCATTGTTCAGGCATTCCTGGCAGATAGGAGACCACAAATCTTGCAGCAGAGACATGGGACGTGATACTCTCTGATGGAGTACTGGGGATTTCCAGCTGATGACTAGCATATTTTTTCCCAATGTAACCCCAGCACTGTAGATTGCCTGTAAATGCCTATGCCCATACTCTGAAGTGCCAGAACCACACCACGTGGTGATGACACATTGCCTTTCTCCATTACAGTGGTACCTCGGGTTACATACGCTTCAGGTTACAGACTCCGCTAACCCAGAAATATTACCTCGGGTTAAGAACTTTGCTTCAGGATGAGAACAGAAATTGTGCAGTGTTGGCGCAGCGGCAGCAGGAGGCCCCATTAGCTAAAGTGGTGCTTCAGGTTAAGAACACTTTCAGGTTAAGAACAGATCTCCAGAACGAATTAAGTTCTTAACCCGAGGTACCACTGTATACCACTCACACTGCTATTTTGCTTCATAGTGCACTTGAGCTGGATGAAGTTTTTTTGTGTTGGTACCAATCAGTTAGCCAGCAGGAAAGGGATGCTCCTGACAGGATGGAGTTAATCTAGAGTGGACATGAAATATTGCAAATTACACTAAAATGGCCTCAGATTATTCTGGACACAAGTTCATATGACCTACAGTTTTCCAGTACCTGAGCCAGCCTATTCCTATTCCAACATTCACATATTTGCAGCTTTCCACAAATCAAACAGAGCCATGCAGGTGGAAAGCTTTGAAGGTCCAGCAGAAAGCAATGATCTCTCTTTCCCTCTCCCACTGCCCCGCCCCACAATACCTGGAAGGATGCAAAAATTGCTTTCTGATGCAATTAATTCCAAAACTGAAAGGTGCAGGGTGGAGATCGGGGTATAGTACTTGCAAAAACTGTATATGAAAAGGTTACATTAAAATTTTTACTTGAATTGCAAGCATTTCGTACGTCTACTATTTCTATCAGACATTTACTTGTTATGCATAGTAAACACTTATTTTCCTGACACAGTAATACAAAAAGGATGAAATAGTTTGAATTCCTTGAATCCAAATGCTGTATTTAATATTCTGGTTCTATAAAGCATGTGTCAATCTTGTAGTTAAAGCTGTTGAATGAGTATTTGCATGAAAGACGGCTGGAATGAAAAAAGCTTTGGATGATTACAAGAAACAGAAATTTTGTAATAATGGAAAAGGGATTTGGTTTATGAGTCTCATTGTTAGATCTACCAAGGTAAAGCATATGTGCACATCTATAACTAAATTGCTTCTCTTTTAACCTGAAAAAGTAGCCAAAAGGAAAGTCTTGCAAGCAAATGACCCCCATCCAGCTAGGAAGCATATGTACCTGATGAGGAACTGCATATGCAGACAGGTGCTGCATGTGTGATTCTAAGCCTAATCCAGTTGTATGGACTGGCTGCGCAAAACTCCAGCCAGAAAACTGGCAAATAGTGCCAACTGGCTTTTCCAGAAGGAGGCTGGATTTAGCCTTCCCCTCAACAGCTGATGGCAGCATCCCTGATTATTCACAGGGGACCACATTCAGGCAGCTGAATGAGAGTGAAAAGGCAGAAGTTTCCTTAAAGGCAACAGTTTCCTTAAAAATGGTTGCAGACAATTAACTAAGCCAGTGGTTCCCAAAATCTGTACACGAAGCATCCCATCCTAAACTCACTCACCTGGATATAAAATCCAGGACTTACTTCTATGTAAAGATATTTGACTGCGACCCGAGAATACTCACTTGTAGTATTTTGAGTGTGTAAATAATCTACTACTTGGCTAAGGTCACAATGTAACAAGTCGCTGCTTAGCCTTTCTGACTGCGCTTCTTTCAGAATTCATTTGTAGGAAAGTTCAATAGAAGAAAGCTGCACAGACAAAACCACACCAAATCCCACAAAACTTTCCTTTGGTTATGGAGCAATTTCATTTTTTATTTTATTCATATCCTTCTTTCGCATCAGATAGATGTTCAAGGCAGTTTACAAAGATGTTTTAAAATCGTAACAACAAAAAAACTAACCAAGAACATAAAAGACAGAAATAAGAAGGCAGCATATAAACACAATATATTAAAAGCCAACCGTAATTAAAGCCAAATACTTTAGTGGATCAGTCTGTAATCCTGAACACTGGAAATGTGTAAATCCTACAGAACTCAGTGGTGCTTACTTCTAAGTAAACTTGCTTAGGACTGTAATGCACAGCTTGTGCCTAAAAGATAATAATGAAGGCACAGCCACATATATTTGAAAAATAGGGATGGTAGGTTTAAGAATTCACACACAAAATGTGGAATGGTACTGTGAACTTGCACACCAGCTGTCATTCTGATGTCTCAGTGTTTGCTCAATGAAGATTCTCCAATCCAATCCAAATAACTTTATTGCGCTAGTCATTGGCCATGGCAAATCTGAATAAAAAATGAATGCAAACAAAAGGGATGAAGATTATACAGACATGATCAAATGCACAATTGTTTTCTCCACTTAAAACAAACCAGCCCGAGAAAAGGTAAAGTGTTGCAAGAGGTAATATCCTTCTTTGAAAAAGTTTGATTGAAAACCACTTAAAACTTCTAATTAATAAGTTCTGTTCCCCACTTGAATTAGTAAAAACCAAAAACATAATAATAATAATGGACAGCTATTTGCCTCTTTGTGTTTTTATAGATGTGAAATATTTCATTAATTTTTTCATCAAAAGAATAGTTTATCTGCATTTTTTTTGCATTATTAATGTTATGCTACAATAACACTGTTAATGCAGTTTCATTATTTCTACTTCAATGAAAGACAGACGGGAGGAAAAGTGTGTGTGCTGCTTGCTCCTGGGTTTCCGCAAGCTTGAAAGCAATCAATCCTCTTCAAATTAAAGAACGGGGAGGAAATGTTAACACTTCCATAGACTTTTCATAAATCAGATTCCCTTTTCAGTTTCTGCAGACTGATTTCTTCATAGAGCTGATGCCTGAACCTCAACATGTCTTCTACATCTTTATGGCGAAGCATTTCCTCAACAGACAGGAGCTTAAAACCATTCAATTTAAAAGGCAACATGTTCTGCGCAGAGTTTAGAATCCCTAAAGACGCTTTCAGTGAATCGCTTAAAGTGGAGCAAATAGGGAAAAGCCGAGCTGTCCATAACCCTCGACAGGTCTCATCACCAGAAAAGAGCTCGTCCGAAATTCTCAGGCCCCAGAGCTCTAAGCTCTGTCCAAGGCTGATTCCAAAAAAATTGATTAAGTGAGTATCTGCCAAATCTGTCACTTTCTTTTTCAAGTTGTCTTCTGTACCAAACGCCATGCTCACATACATTACTTCTCCATCAATCCTCACGCTTAGTGTAGCTATGAAAGTGTTTGGAGGTATGTCTGCTTTTGTGTCAATATAACAGCCGCTGATGATGCTGTTTGTTCCCACTGAAACCTCTGGTCCCAGCCAAGAATATTCAACTACTGAGCCAGGTGCAACAGAACACCTTGGACCGAGTATACTGTGAATGATACATGCCGATTTCCCAGTGTCCTCCACGCTGTCTGGACAGATGCTAAAAACATTTGGCATCAACCCCATTTCTGATTTCAACTTCCTATCAGACGTGAAATGAAACAAATATTCGCAAGTCATCCCAATGTGATAGAATTTGGAGTTATTTAAGAGTACAACATTGAGTGGCAATCCTTTTAGAAGTTCAAATATTTTCTCCCTTATTTCCACTAGGCCCGACTCTTCTTTTGTGACGTTTTCTATGTTTTTTGCATAATTTGGTGTTGCTCCGGGCCCTAATGCCTGGAGAAAGTCGCCATAGGCATCTATTTCACAGCACAATACGCCCATCTGTTTATAAAAGGCCAGAAGTAGTTTTGCAGTGGTGTGATCAATGTAAAATAAACTATCTGTGTACACGCATTCAGAAATGACATTGAAGTTTCCCTCTCCTCCAGGAGAAGGTGCTGGACAATGACCTCTTTCACACACTGCTCCAGACTGGCGCATCCTTGCAATGCTAGGCTTATGCAGGAAACGGTGGCATGATCTGTATTCGAGCTGTCCCTTTTCTGTCAAAAGTGATGCTGGCTCCAACACAAACACACCATGAGTCGTACCAATGGTCAAACTGGAAGGATGGGCTAATGCAGTAAACCCGGGCTGATCAAACCTTATGAATTCTGTTGCTCCAGCACTATAAAGTTCAATATCGTCGGCACAAGTAATCAGGATGCCTGGATTCATGTGGAGGGGGAAATCAATGTACATAGCCAATTTTAAATCCAGCATTTGATAAACCGGGTCCCCAAAAGGCAAAGCTGTGAAGATTTTCCCCAGAGCACTCGCATTTGGTAAACGTTGACTGTAGCCACCTTAAGAAGTAAATAAATAAAAGAGTAACTTTTACAACATGCACACAGGTGTTCATGCAGATACACAGAATTTAAACGATTTCATAAGTTATATAACATTTTACCTAAGCATTTTTTTGTGTGATTGATGGTGTAGTCCTGTGAAAACTTTTAAGAAAAACACTGGGGCCTAATTTGAATAGTAGAGTGCTGGGTATCTGGTGGGCAGGGCTCTGGAATCAGCCCCTCCCTTCAGTGGATGCTCCGTTATGTTCAGTTAAGAATGTCAGTTAAGAGGGACCAACTGCCTCTTCTTGCAGAATGTACTAAACTGTGCGAGTGAGGGGATATTCCCAGTTTGCCAGGAGGACTGATTTTGTTAATCATATCCACCTCCACAACAAAAACACCATCGCTTGTTAAGAACAACCATTACAGAATTCATTAAATCTGAAGCAGAAAGCCATGCAATGCAAGGGGAATTTATTTATTTAGATATATAATTTTATATCCCCCCCCAAGGGCTCAGACCAGGTTACAACATTTACAAAACATGTTTTATTAAACAGGGAAATGAAAGCTGAAATTGCTATTTAAATTATGACTGACACATTCACCTTATACTGTATGAAAGCAACTGGCTCCCCAATCTTAGATGTGATGTATGAACTAGATCAGGCTTCCTTAACCTCAGCCCTCAAGATGTTTTTGGCCTACAACTCCCATGATCCCTAGTTAGCAGGACAAAGTGGTCAGGGATGATGGGAATTGTAGTCTCAAAACATCTGGAGGGCCGAGGTTGAGGAAGCCTGAACTAGACTTTTCTTTTCTCAAAAATGGGGAGTAGCCATTGGTTCTTTATAGCAGACTCTTATATGTGTGACCTGGTATCTATAGCAACCAGGAGGGCCTTCTTTAGCTTGCAATCTCCATCTTGGGACGGGGTCTACAAGCTGATCTAATGACTACAACATTCAGCCTAATTTTCATACACTACCCCCAAACTACTTTTTGCAGAACATTCTGCCTGATGAAGAGTTCTGGAGAACTTTAAAGCTTTCCACTTTTAGAATCATAGAATCATAGAGTTGGAAGAGACCACAAGGGCCATCGAGTCCAACTCCCTGCCAAGCAGGAAACACCATCAGAGCACTCCTGACATATGGTTGTCAAGCCTCTGCTTAAAGACCTCCAAAGAAGGAGACTCCACCACACTCCTTGGCAGCAAATTCCACTGTCGAACAGCTCTTACTGTCAGGAAGTTCTTCCTAATGTTTAGGTGGAATCTTCTTGCTTGTAGTTTGAATCCATTGCTCCGTGTCCGCTTCTCTGGAGCAGCAGAAAACAACCTTTCTCCCTCCTCTATGTGACATCCTTTTATATATTTGAACATGGCTATCATATCACCCCTTAACCTCCTCTTCTCCAGGCTAAACATGCCCAGCTCCCTTAGCCGTTCCTCATAAGGCATCGTTTCCAGGCCTTTGACCATTTTGGTTGCCCTCCTCTGGACACGTTCCAGTTTGTCAGTGTCCTTCTTGAACTGTGGTGCCCAGAACTGGACACAGTACTCCAGGTGAGGTCTGACCAGAGCAGAATACAGTGGCACTATTACTTCCCTTGATCTAGATGCTATACTCCTATTGATGCAGCCCAGAATTGCATTGGCTTTTAGCTGCCGCGGCCACACTGTTGGCTCATGTCAAGTTTGTGGTCAACCAAGACTCCTAGATCCTTTTCACATGTACTGCTCTCAAGCCAGGTGTCACCCATCTTGTATTTGTGCCTCTCATTTTTTTGCCCAAGTGCAATACTTTACATTTCTCCCTGTTAAAATTCATCTTGTTTGTTTTGGCCCAGTTCTCTAATCTGTCAAGGTCATTTTGAAGTGTGATCCTGTCCTCTGGGGTGTTAGCCACCCCTCCCAGTTTGGTGTCATCTGCAAATTTGATCAGGATGCCCTTGAGTCCATCATCCAAGTCGTTGATAAAGATGTTGAATAAGACCGGGCCCAAGACAGAACCCTGTGGCACCCCACTAGTCACTCTTCTCCAGGATGAAGAGGAACCACTGATGAGCACCCTTTGGGTTCGGTCAGTCAGCCAGTTACAAATCCACTGAGTGGTAGCATAGTCAAGACCGCATTTTACCAGCTTCTTTACAAGAATATCATCGGCCACCTTGTCAAATGCCTTGCTGAAATCAAGGTAGGCTACATCCACTGCATTCCCTTCATCTACCAGGCTTGTAATTCTGTCAAAAAACGAGATCAGGTTAGTCTGGCATGACTTATTTTTCAGAAATCCATGCTGACCATTGGTGATCACAGCATTCCTTTCTAGGTGCTCACAGACTGTTTGCTTAATGATCTGCTCCAGAATCTTCCCTGGTATTGATGTCAGACTGACTGGGCGGTAATTATTTGGGTCCTCTCTTTTCCCTTTTTGAAAATAGGGACAACATTTGCCCTCCTCCAGTCTGCCGGGACTTCGCCTGTTCTCCAGGAATTCTCAAAGATGACTGCCAGTGGTTCTGAGATCACATCTGCCAGTTCTTTTAATACTCTTGGATGCAGTTCATCTGGCCCTGGAGACTTGAATAAATCTAAACTAGCCAAGTATTCTTGTACTATCTCCTTAGTTATGCTGGGCTGTGTTTCCTCTGCTGAATCATTTGCTCCAAATTCTTCAGGTCGGGCATTGTTTTCTTTATTGGAGAAGACTGAGGCAAAGAAGGCATTGAGGAGTTCAGCCCTTTCTGTGTCCCCTGTTTGCATTTCACCATCTTCTCCTCTGAGTGACCCCACTGTTTCTTTGTTCTTCCTTTTGCTACGAACATACCCATGTATAAAATAAGGACTTCCACAAACATTGACTTAATTCTGATTGGTTGGCTAAAAGCTAAAACAAAAACCACCATTTGGGTTCACAAAACACAAGCTATATAGTGGCGTGTTTGTGCTGTGTGCTACATCCACTGAGGTGGCGAAGCTGCATGGAGGGCAAGAGGCACATTCACAATCAACTCATGGTTGAAAACAAGTTATAGTATGACATCCAAACTAACAGTATATTGAGAAAATAATTGTCAACGTGCATGTTTCTCTGTATGCCCGGATAGAAGATAATCCCATAACCAAGTGTATACTATTAAGCATACAACCCATAACATGTTAATGGACAGTCTAGTAATGTGGTTATTACTTTCTGGTGCACTGAAAACTCACCACACACAGGATTGCACTGTATTTCTGAATCCAGTGCTATGTACCATAAGGAAGTTACACCCTGCCCCCTCCAACTTTAGGGGAGTGAAAGGGGAGTGAGATTTTATTGGATGCTGCCATTGGCTGTTCTATATTCCTTCTCTTCTCCTGTGTAAGGTATTTGCATCGGATGATGATTCAGATGATTTGACCTAAATAAGCCAATCCAATTTGAGTTTAATTTTGTAGTGGGGAAAACCCCTATTCATCTTCACTGCTATCTTTTCTTCAAGGAAGAAAAACACCCTACATAATGCAAGAGAAGTGTAATTTAAAGGAACAGATTACCAGAATGAATTAATATGACGGTAAAAGAATCCCATTTATCACCATAACGTTCTTCTAAGCACTGAAGGACATGAAGCGTTGATCCACCGTTTCCTACAAAACATTTCAACACATACTTCAATTTATAAATAACAAGAAGAGGCAATCAATATGCCTTGAGTATTCAGTTCGCTCACTTCTAGTATGAGATCACTTAACTGGGCTCACATAATAGGATGGAGAGAAATATCTTTCTTTTGAAATTTATGTCAGTTCAAATCCCCTTAAAGCTCACTGGGTGATGTTGGACCAGTTCACCATCTCTCTGTCTAACTTACCTCACAGAGTTACAGTAAAGACAAACTAAGAGTTCCCATGAACTGTCCTGAGTGGGATACAATAAATGTGATAAAATGAATATGTTTACATATAAAGAAGCAAACAACAGGTTTCTGCTTCAAGACTGCTTTCGCTAATACACAATTAGTCTATTTTTATTTCTACCTCACTGACATAAATGCAACACATTTATGTTGATTTTTTTTTTTTACTTCATAGTGATTTGGGTAATGAAAATTTTACATTGAAAATTTACCTCAAAGTTGTCAAGCCCAATGAATAGGACAAAAAAAGTTGATGACTGACTGGATAGAATATTTAACTTCACAGATCGGTTTCAGAATCAGTCTGAAGGTACACCTGATGCAGTAATATTTATCCAAGACTAAAATGATCATTAACATACTTCTCAAACAGACACGGCTTTTATATTATGACTGAAATCTGGACTCCCAGCAAGCCTGGGCTCTTTACCCTTCTAGAGTTAGCCATGGTGAAACCATGGTTGGCTGCAGAGTTACTCAGTGGACTGTGACCTCTCTCTGTGAACACTAAAATCAGGCTTGGTTGAACAGTATAAAGCATATATAGGACACTTTTGCTAATACAGGAGAAAAGCCTGCTGGCTCACATCAACAGCATATTTAGTCCAGCACTTTGTTCTCGCGGTGGTCAAAGAAATGAGTATGAGAAGCCTGCAAGCAGGACTTGACCACAAAAGCACTGTCTCCTCCTTAAGTTCCTAGCAACAGGTACTGAGAGCCATACTGCCTCTGACCCAGAGTAAGATAGATGTGGGTTCTTATTTCATAAGGTGGAATTAAATGCAACACTGATTGCTAGCCGGGTTGCTGGCCAAGTACTCCAACCCTTTGTCCAGTTTCTACCTGTAGAAATAGCCTTGGCGTCTTAGACACCATAATACATGATGAGAACGCACAGATGATAATACCTAAACTAGGATAGACCTTAATGAATCTATTCAACTGTCATGTCGTCCAAAAGAACATCCGTCTCATTAATACAAATGGGAGTTGCACACTTGAATCAAAAGAAGCTTAATAATAGTATTTGAACATATTTTTGGAGGTTTAATTAATATAATTCAGCTTCTAATGGCATTCTGGAAATCTTTCAGTGAAAGAGATACAGCTGTCATAATATGCACCCGAAGGAGAACCTTTTTATCTGTCTGAAAATTAATCAAATTATGCTGAATATTTAAACCACAAACTGGCTCAGTTTCTGCTCACCAGATGACTGGAAAGTTAGCCTTCCAAACTTGAGGCACGAGCCTGCCAAAGTTAAGCAAAATATACTGTTGAGCCACGCTGGGCTCTTATGGCAGTGAGGGCGAGGTACAAGATCAAATTATTGTTATTAAACTTAAGCAATGTTATGTCCTATGAGTTTTAATGGAAGAAAATGATAGTGCTTATTTGAGCTAGGGTTATGCTTTTAACTTTGCTACAAAGAACTTATCTGTCATGTTGTCACATTCCCAGGAAATGCGATCAGAACCCACCAATTTTTGGTCCAGGAGGATCCACGAAAACATGGTAATGAACACCGAGCGGGAGTTCCTTTCTTTTCAGCTTTTGGGATAATTGTTGCTGGTAAGCTATTTCTTGTTTCTTGTCAACTGCTGTTATTACAACAATATCCCAAAATGTTCCAGATTGGACCGTTTTACCTGTTTGAAGATAAGAACATTTTATTACTGGAGATACAATTGCCAAGAGCGCTGAAGCGCTTTAAAACGATCCTCTCCCTAATAGACTCTGAGGCTTGGCTCCCATTCCTTACCTTTCTAGCTAAACCAGAGATGGAGAATCTCACACCTGCCGGGGTGCGCACACAAATGTGTTCCCCCCAGGCCTCTTTACCTGGCTCTTGAGACTCGCTCCAGGTCCTAATAAAGCTATTGGGCAGCAGTTACCTAAGGGTTTCTTCTTGCGCAATGGGCTTTCCCGCCTCTTCTCCTAACACCACCCACAGAAATTGGCTCAGAGGAATTGGACTAGCCCCAGAACAAGTGGGAGCAGGGGACATTATCTGACTGTGGATTTTGAAGGTTTACGAACCAACATGGCTTCATCTGTAATCTGGATAGCTCGGTTGGTTAGAGCGTGGTGCTGATACTGCAGGTTCAATCCCCATATGGGATGGTTACATATTCCTGTATTGCAGGGGGTTGGACTAGATGATCCTCAGGGTCCCTTCCAACTCTGCAATTCTATGATCTATGCTTTTTGGTACTACAAGTCAGTAACTCTGCATACAGAATCAGGTGATATTACAATGCCCAGGACAAGAGTGGCTCTTTTGTTACAATGCTCCTGGCTCTGTGAAAGTACAGTATGTGGTTTAGTCGGAGTAGTTATTACTTTGTGCATTAAACTGGGTGTGGCAGGGAGGAAAAATATTTTATTTTTATTTTTAAATGTCTACACAGATCTGATAACTACAATTGCTGAAGTTCATTCTGCAAACAAAATGTGAGTGATTAAAATCAACCATTCACTAATTAGTTTTGGAAAACCATAACATATCAGGGATTTGTGAAGAGAAATTTGAAGAAGGGGAATGGGGGCAGTTGCCTACCTAACAGCATCTATTGATATAAGAGAAAAGAAGGAATCCTAAACACCAGGCTCAATTTTATGTTTGCTTAATAACCTAAAGGGCTCCCTTCCACAACTATTCCCAAAGGCAAGGAAACCTAGAGTCACTTAAAATTCTGACACACTTCATCCTTTGTCTTCCCTGGTCTTCCCAAGAATAAGAGCCCTGGTGACTCAAAGGACTAGGTATAGCTCCTTGCCTGGGGGAAAGAGCTAGTTTGTCCTCTCCTAGCTGACTATTTTTGTTTTATTTTGTTTTATTGTTTTAAAAACAACTTGGTATTTATCAGGGGACAAGCAAGGAGAATTTGTGGTTTGAGTGTTGACTCCTTCCTTTTGCTGTAAATGCCAGAAGATTAAAAACAAAGAATAAGCACATGAGGCAGCTAAGATACAGGACTGCTTCTCTCTGGCAAGGAACTATTTCTATTCCTTTGATGACCAACCTGTCAAAAACAGTACCCCATCAAATCTGGCGCTTCCCTTCAGATTACTGCTATTTAGTAATCCCTATGGGCTTTCTAGCTAGTTCAATTATTGCACCTATACCACACACTCTCTTTCGGAAGCTCAAAACAATTTTCATGGGTTCCCTAGTCTCTCTCCAACCACTGGCCATACGTTGACGTGCTTGCTTTACCAATATTAAGGCATCACATTCCTGCATAGTCTCTGCAGATTGATGCACTTACTCAACACAATGTTATAGGAAAATACACTCAGAAAAACCACTTTCACTTATGAGGCATCAAAATAGAGAGAGCTGTGGTGTGTGGCTCAGATAAAACAGTTTGTGGATTCTGTAGAATTGTTGTCAAAATATGTCCTCATTAAGACATGGATGAGAACATACTCCAATGTCATCCCTGCCTCACACTGCTAAATAGAAAGAAAATCCTGGAGACCTCAATTATTAAGTCACTGTACCTCTCACTAATCATCTGTGCTCTGTCTCACTTGGAAAGGAAGAAGGCATTACCTCTGCCATTCCACATTCCTCTGTTGCATGGCACGCAACTAGAGTGACACAACTAGGCAGCAATCCTATGCACATTTACCTAGGAGTAAGCTCATGGAACGAGCTAGGACTTCTGTATAAACATGCATTCCATTGTGCTGCTAAAAACATTTGAACTGCATGTACAGTCTTCAAAATACCTATTTTGGTAAGAGGATTTTGTGTGCAAGGTATTTTAAAAAAAATTTTTTTAAATAACTGAAGCCTTGTTTTGGCGAATGAAACAACTGCAGTCTCAATCAGATGAGCACCAGGCGGAAGAGACGGGTAGCAAGCTGGCTGCCTTTAAAGCGAGATGGCAGATATCAAAACCATCCACGTTCTCACTTTTATAGTTTCTCCCTGTAACAGGATCACCTAGCTTCAGGTATCAATGGGTCTCTTTTTGCCAGGCTGGCAGGGTCTGAAATGGGAGAGACTGAGCAGGTTCTACGGGTGTGTCAGCTTTGAAGCAAGAGCTGCAGGACATTATTTTCCTGCGCAAGTTTCAGTCTAGCCTGGGTGGGAAAAACAACAACAACAACACACTTCTCCTCTGTTGTCCCGGACCCTCTTCCCTCAGAATGGGGACCTGGGTGTGGAGCGCATTTTCTGCCAAGGTGGGCAATGAAAAGGCCGGGGGTCGCAGCTGAGCATGCTCCATTGCATTTGGATCTGCCCAGCAGCACCCTTACATATGCAGACCAGAGCGGCCCAGCCCTGGCCCTCCCGGCTGGGCCAGTCCTTCCTTTGCACGCTGGGGATACTGCGGGAGTGGAGGCCTTCGCAGTCCCTCGCGGGAAGGCTGCTCGCCAGGGGAGGAGCCGGCCCCAAGGTCTGCGCCCTGAGCGCCTCCGGGGCGCAGTGAGTCCCCCAACCCAGCCCTTCCACCTCTCAGCTGCGCGAACTTCTCCAGCCTCTCCCGAGTGGCTGCTCGCAGCAAAACTTCCGCCTCTCCTGCAGCCTGCATCGCGGCGGCGCCTTCTTCTCCGTCTCGCTGCTTCCGGGCTTGGGCAGCAGACCCGCCTCCTGCTCGACTGGGCTGGCCTCGCCAAAGCAGCCCGTTGCTCCGGCGACCAGGAGGCGCGCACCTCCCCGCGAAGGCTGCCCCGCCGGATGCGCGCGGTGCCCTTGCCCCGCGCTCCCAGCTGGAGGAGGCAGGCAGGCAGGCAGGGGAGAGGACGGGAAGGAGCCAGGCGAGCAAACAACGGAGGGGGAGAGGCAGGAAGTGGGATCGGTGGGTGCGCCTTTCATTCTGCCTGCAAGAGGGCAGAGGCAAGCGAGAGGGAAAAGCCAGCCGAGCCATCCCACCAGCACTTGGGAGCCCCTTCTCTCTTTGCTGACACGCACTATGTATCTCTTACACACCGACACCCAGGTATTCATGGGTTTCTTTTCTTGAGTAATGGGCTTTTTGAAGTTGCGAACAAACTAACAAGGCGACTCTTTCTTCTTCTTCCTCCTCCTCCTCCTCCTCTCTCTCTGTGCCCCCTCCCACCTTTCCACATCTCCCCGCTTAACTGTTTCCTGCCTCGCTTTATATCCTGGAAAGACACCTTTGGGAAAGACACACACACACACACACGGTTGCCTCGGATGCTTGTCCTACTCAGACTAGACTCATTGAAATGAATTAGAAATCCAAACATTAATTAATTAAATGCTTTGATATGTGCTGGAAGCCAACCAGAGTCAATCTGCGAAAACCCAGCCAGATGGGTGGGGTATAAATAATACTTATTTATTATTAAGTATTACACTTAGGCAGGAATAACTAGCTGCACCAATATAAGATGGGGGACACTTGGTTCATCAGCAGTATATGTTAACAGGATCTAGGAGTCTTAGTAGACCACAATATGAGTCAACAATGTGATGTTGCAGCAAAAGAAGCTAATGATATTCTAGACTGCATCAGCAGAAGTCTAGTCTCTAGATTATTATTATTATTAGTGCTCTCATCCAATCGGTCATTATTTTACTACCAGCTTTGGTTGGACCTTGTGGTTCTAGTTTAAATAAACCCCAAACATCCCTCAAATAAATACCACAATCTGTCCACCCCTGACCTACTGAACACAACTTCTCTCTCTGGGCTGTGCAGTATAGAGGGTCGGTCGTGGAAGAAGCTGCCACCTCATCCACCCTTGCCCACCTGCTTTTTCTCCCTCAGGAACAGGGATTGGCATCCACATAGTCCTAATATTAATGCATGCAACAGGTAAGAAGAACAAATCCACGAAAGAATCGGGGATATCTTTTGCAGGCAAAGAACATGCCCTGCCACTGAGATAACAGCCCTCCCAGCGATCTCAAGGGAAGAGAGGGTGGCTTGGAATGCTGAGAGAAGGTGACAGTTGGGTGCTGAAGGGAGAAGCAGGCAGGTGAGAAGAAGAAGCCAGGCAAGAGGCTTGGTCTGAGGAAAAGGGCAGGACAGCACATCTGGAACCCCATACGGGCTTGGTACAGGTGTAATACAGTGCAATGGTTTGATGCAAGTTGGTGTCATAGTCTGTCATTATATCCAAGCTAGGTGTGGAAATCACATTTAAGATTCATTACCGTTCTGGTCTGTAGCCGAGTGCAACCCATAGTCTGCTAGTTCTAATTTAACAACGAACTATGGTTTGCATGGAAGTTGAAGTAGCTAACTGGCCAGATGGAGAAAAGAGATTCTGGAATGCTTTCAGTGGGGAGATTCTCCCGGCACATATTTTGATGTCATTTTGGTGCCAGACAAATACTTCTTTATTTTACTTTATCAGGCCTCTTAATTTGATTTGATCTGTTGGCTGGTGTATTTTATGTTTAGGGTATGTTTTTAGTTTGTAATGTTGTGTTTTCAAATTTTGTAAGCTGGTCTGGGAATTGAGTGAAAAAAGTGTGAGGTGTGGATTTGTGTGCTAAATAAATAAAACTGAGAGGGAGAAGAATAGGGGAGCATGTAATCATGAGGCTTGCTATGCCCAAGCCTGGCTTGATGTTGTACATGATCCAGATCAATGCTTTTCTTTATCCAAATTTCCAAAAGATTGTTCCTTATGCTAAGAACTGTACTTGTGTGCGACTGTGCACATGATCGTAATATTAATGCAATGTCACATCTTCTAACCTCCCTTCCATCTTCTAACCTCCCTCTGGCAAGAGAGACCCACAGGACACTCAGAAAGGCTCTCACTCATCCACTAGCTTGACTAAGAAAAGAAAGGGGTGGCATTCTCCTGGCGCTACTTCCTCAAACCCTTTGTGCTTTTGAGATCACAGAAGGTAGATGTGGGATCCCCCCCCCCATTACAGGAATAGAAACAGGGAAGAAAAAACATGCCTTGAAAAGCTTCCTGAAGGGGAAAAACAATGAGCATTTCCACGGTTCCTTATGCTCATTCTTGCACATGTCTCTCCCCCAAGCCCTCTGCTTATCAAAGGTGGGCATGAAGTTAGTACCAAGAGGGACAGAGGCTTGGCTAGTAAACCAAGCTGATCTTTGTAGACTCTTGCAATTGCTTCTTGCAATTTTCTTATGCAGTTTTCAGCATATTCACCTCTTTACCCTGGGCTTTGACGCTCGAGATATATGTTTTATTAGGGTATTAAATTACCCTATTCTGTAATTTGTTTTAATTGATTTTAATGTTGTATTTTAAAAAATTATTGTAACATGCCCTGGTGAAGGGTAGAAAATAATTCTAATAATGACAATATTACTAGTAATAATATTCTAATTTTAACAGCAACAACACCCCTCCCTCCCCAAAAGCCAGGAATCGCAACTTACCACCATGTGTGTGTGTGAAGTTCTGTTCAGTGACAGTGAAATAGTGATTCCATAGGTGAGGGGTAGCAGCTAAGGGTGACGGGTTTTTTATTACAGTGGTACCTAGGGTTACATACGCTTCAGGTTACATATGCTTCAGGTTACAGACTCCGCTAACCCAGAAATAGTACCTCAGGTTAAGAACTTTGCTTCAGGATGAGAACAGAAATAGCGTGGTGGCGGTGCAGCGGCAGCTGGAGGCCCCATCAGCTAAAGTGGTGCTTCAGGTTAAGAACAGTTTCAGGTTAAGAACAGACCTCCAGAACGAATTAAGTTCTTAACCTGAGGTACCACTGTATTTTCTTGCACCTCTGAAATGCATAGTTTGCTTATTTAAAGACTTATACTCTTCTTGCTTTAAACAATCATTATGCAACACAATGGCAAACGAGATTATTCTTGTCGTAGCGATGGGGTAACAAAGAGGAAACATGATGCTGAACACAGGAGAAATAGCCCCCTCTGGGAGGTATGGAACTTCTCAAAGAATATGGCTCATGGTGATGAGGGAAGCCCTGATGGGCTGGAAAAACTAATGGTTCAGTGGCAAGTCTGTAAAGGAAGAAGTGGTTTAAATCTAGAATTTAAAGGTCCGCAGGAGTCATCTCTATTGCTACTGATAAATCATCACATTTACTTGCACGCTCCTTTTCCAAATAATTTCAAAGCAGCTCACAAGAACAGTCAACAAATCAAAGCAAACACAGCCATAAATATATAAACTACATTCCATAAACGCAGTATTTCGCATCCACATTTGCAAGTTAACAAAAACATCCATATTAAGATTTCCCTGAACTTTGAAATGCATTCTAGGCCCCTTCAGCAGCAGGAGCAGCCTATGTCTTCAGGAGCTATGCTGTCCCAGGCTGAGAGGAAATGGGTCAGGCAGAAAACAGGGACCAGGTCTTTTCAGGATTCACAGTGGTGAAGAAGGCCACGCATTGTAAACAGCAACAATGTTGAGTTGCCTGGAAGCGACTGCTTCCTCTGTCCATCTAGGAATAGTGACAGGTGGCTTTAAAAGAGGACTAAACAAATTCATGGAGGGTAAGGCTTTCAACAGCTACTAGCCATGATGGCTATGTTCTGCCTTCCCTGTTGAAAGCAGTGTGCTTCTGAACACCCCTTGCTGGAAACCACAAGAGGGGACAGGCTTCTCATAGGTATTTAGGTCGCCACTGAGTGTTAAGTTGTGGGTGAACATATCAGACAACACAGAGATTCTTCAAACAGCTCTTGTTTATTCACAGGCCAGAACAGAACTGAACTGAAGGGTTCAGTTAGCCTGCTTATATAGAGCTCCAGTACAACGTAACTGTAACAATTTTCTAAAACTATCCAATCACTGAACGTCACTTTCGATCCCTTATTTGCATAACTATCTACAGTATCCCCCTGCTGGACCAGGGTGAGAACTTCAGTACATAACACCGAGAGAACAAGATGCTGTACTAAATGGACCACAGGTCTGATCTAGCAGGTTCTTCTTATGTTGGCTCTTGAAAATGCTTTTTAAACCATTTCTTCCTTTACAGATTTGCCATTGGTCAGTTGGTTTGACTCCTTTCTAGCAAATCGGCTCCGTTATATTCTTTCTTTCTTTTTTTACAAATGGCCAAAGGAAAAATGAGCCACGAGCCACGTTCTATCTAGCTTGCTTGTTCTGCTAAACTGGCATATATTTTCATGTCTCCACAAGCATTTTCAGTACTAAGTGCTATGCGAGCATATGAGTTCATTTTATTTGATGCAAGTGCAATGTCCTTGCAGGGATGCGTTGGCAATCTTGATATTCACCGAGATCTTCTTGATGTATAAATGTGAGTGGAGATCTCTTTCTATATCATTGCTCGTTTTATAATGTTGTGGCTCCTGTCAGATACTTTTGCTCTATTCTTTCTTTTTAATTTTAAGAGTTGGATCAAATCTAGTCTTCGGTGGATTATAAAAGTACAAAGTGCAAATGAAAGGAAATGAAGCAGTCATGCCCTCTGATATGGTCTCACCATGCACAAATCCTGCAATAAAAGAAGTCTTAAAAATAAGGCAGAAGCCTCTGTATGAAATCACACAAAAAGTACATGAAACCCTGGTTTTGGTCCTAACAAAAAGACTACTTTATCCATCCCTTAAAAAGGGGGCAGAAATTAAAAGTGCTGATGGTCTCCTTACTTTAAAAATAAAAGTAATATATTTCTGAAATTTCTTCACTAATCCAGTAAATATTAATTTGACATCTCTTTAAACCATGACAAAGCAGACTTATATGAGGTGCGTCTGTAAAAATTAATTTAAAATATAGCCTCATTTAATTTATCTCTTGCTCAGTTAAGGCTGAAGAAATCATAAATTAGTTTTCTGGCAGATCTCCAGTGACCTCAGTGGAATTTTGCCGGCACAAATATAGGTTGGATTATAGGGTAAAGGTATCTGTTTTTCATTCCTTAGCCAGTTCAGTAATGGTGCTCATTGTACAAGATAGTGTTTTAAAAGTATTTTTTTATTACTATTTTCAACATACATAATAAAAGCAGCTAAATTTCAATCTATAGTGTAGCTTATTTCCCCCAGCTTTTCCCAGATCAGGGATTTGATCAATTCCAACCCCAATAGAAAATTCAGGCTGCTTTCTACTGAACTTGTGGCTCTGTTGCATACTCATTTACCTTTTAATGCATGTTGGGAGTATTCTCTGAAGGAAACGGAATAGCCATCTTGAGCTTTAAGAAGCTACTAGTTTGCTGTGTAGATATTGCAGGTTTTCTAGCATTGGCCAAAGTTATGCTGTAGGAAATGGCTGATATCCCTGAGTAGCAGCCGAGTTGGAGGAAGGACGTACTTTTACAGTCAGGTGATGGGGAGCAGCACTGGAGACAAGGGGACATGTCATATTGATCAAGCAGGTTTCACTGATAAGCCACATCATAAGCAAATCACATTAGTAGTGCATGCCTGTATGTTGACTCCAATTCCACTTTACTCTTTCTTTCTCCATATATGTTTACGTGTGTGTACATCTCTGTACACACACACACACACACACACACACACACACTTATCCTATACTTGGAGATTCAGTTAAGCATCATAACAATAAATGTTTAAATGACACTTTCATTGAACAAACAAAAGATCTTGTTGATGACTAGTCCCTAATTGTTTTTTTCTGAATATAAAGGTCTTGCACTGTTTCTAGAAAACACTTTGACCTACAGTACAATTCATTGTGTTTGCCTGTATGCTTTCCTGTTTATAGGTACACTGTTTTTGTTTTCATTACATTATCCATTTTTATTGACACAGTTCCTTAGTGTTTTCTGTTATTGTGATAACATGGAAAAAACAGCCGAATTTTGCACTTGCTTACATGTTTTCAAATAGTCTGTTAGATTTCTTTCTTCCCGCCTGCCTTCCCTGTCGCTGCTAGTTCTTTAATAGAGCAGGGGGTATTGTCACAACCAGCTGGATATTTCCTTAGGGTACTTGAAGTTTTTCTTTTGAAAGTTGAATAAATGTAACCTCCTGTGTAATCTCTCCCCGCCCTTAGATATCTCATGGATAAACTGTAAAAGAGATCAACAACCATGGAGGAGGAATTTGCAAAATACCTTGTCTCTGCTTCTGAAAATCTGCTACTCCAATATGGGCAAACCGCCGATCAAAAAGATGCAAAGAAGCTGCGAAATCTCGTTATGGTCAGGATACGCACTCAGTATTTATGCAATCTAAAAGAGATGCAGTATTGTGTTTCACTTAAAATATGTGATTTGTCTGGAAATTTCATTGTGAATATTGATGCACTTGAGTCTTGCACTAGTTTAATTAAACTGGATCTTCATAACAACCAGGTGAGCAAATTTTTAAAAATTAACATACAAAGTATGGTTTGGGGAAACTAGCCAGTTTTTGTATTTGTTCCTGTAGGTTCTTTATGCAGGCTTAATTTATGCTGCAGGAGCTTCCACTGTTTAGTATTTTTTATTCTAACAATAGAGAGTGTTTGTTTGTCTGTGAGAGGTGGGGCTGGAGAGAGAGCTAGACCCAGCGTCCTCTGTTTCTTCTGGTCATTATTGCAATAGAAATGTGGCCTTTTCAACATTGCCAAAATTGTATTTCTCACGATACCTAGTGTATGAAATTAGCTGTCTGAAGAATTATAAGTCATATCCTGAAATGTTGATCTTAAGAGCCCAAAATGATGTCAGCATTTTCACGATGGTGGGAGTCGGGTGGGAAAACTATTCCAGTTTCCACTTTGAGTGTTTGCTTATTTTCCACAACATTTCCCCCCCGAAGGCTGGAATTTTACCTTTTACTTTTGAAGCACTCAGTTGAGATTCTCATGTTCACTTGCTCCAAAGGATACTGCGTTGCTCCCTCCTATTGAAGTGAATGGGGGAATCCCAGTCACACATCATAGCACACATGCATCTCGGGACTGGGAGTGTTGTCTTTGATATATAAATAAAAATATGCAGATGATCATTGACTGGGCTTATTCTCTTCCTTGGCTGAGGAAGCAATTTTGGTTTGACAGGTTACTTACACTACATTTTCCACAATGTATTTACCTTTTTCTCCTTTCTTTCAAAATTGTGTTTCAATGCTGATTCAGATAGAAGAGCTTCCGGGCCCAATGTTTTGGGTAAACATGGCAGGACTGCAACTTCTGTATCTTCATAATAATAGCATTTCAGCACTGGAAGATGTGCATTCGTTATCTTTCTGCCCTAATCTGATCGCTCTCACCTTGTTCAACACTCCCCTGTGCCTGAAAATCGCATATAGGCATATTGTTGTTAACAGCATCTTTTCACTCAAAGCACTGGACTACTATGCTATTTCTGATGAGGAAATAATAGAAGACTGGAGGCTTCCTGAAAAATATAAACCCTTTACACCTAGCTTTTATATTGATTTTTGCCCTACTTCTGGAAAGGTAAGTTATCTAGTTGTTGTTTGTTTTAAGGCATGCCTTCATAGGAATAGTAAGCTTCAAGTATGTCATCATAATTTGTAGCCATTAGCTGAAATCCAGCAAGCACAATGGAGCATTCCAAGTTCTTTGCCTGCCAGGAACCCTGTGTGCAAGTATTCATTATTGTGGCAAATCATCATGGCTTGCAGTTACAATTATTGTTCATCAGATAATCCTAAAAATAATGAATGTTTTCATAAATTTAAAGCATCTGAATTTTTATCTGTTTTGAATTAACAGCAACATTTAGAGATGGGAGAAACAATGGTTTCACAGGTGCTAGGACTAGAATTCATGTCTTTGTTTAGTTACACAATTTTGATTCTATCCTTGGCTCAGTGAAATGTTCCAAATGTAAAAACATTGCCTTCCTTCATTGAAGCCAGCATTGAAAATATGCCTACAAAATGTGACTAGGCTGCATTTTTCTTTTTACTAGCCTGCTAAGATGCTAGTAGCATGTGCCTCGGTTCTGGCTTCAAAAGAGCCCCCTCTTTAACATCTGGCATGAAAATACACGAAGTTAGCTTCGTTTCAGGCTAGCAAAAATGAAATGCCTTCTGCAAAACAGGCTGGCGGGGAAGGGACAGAGACAAGAGAATTGTCTTCCCTTCCTCTGTAGCCAGAATGGAAACAAATCCAACTGGTGGAGGAGGAATGATGCTCACTCACCTGTATGGAATTCCTAGTCGCCTGTGGATACCAGGCAAGTTGTTAAATGCAAGGCTGGCTGAAACCACTTAGTTTACAAAAGAAATATGCTTGGACTGATGCACTTTGAATGGTAAGATCTGCTTCTAGGACCCCTTTCTGGGTCCTTTGGTCCTCGTAAATCACACCCGGTTCACATGGCACAGTAAGAAACCTGAGTGAGAGAACCGATAGAAATGGAGACTATTAAACTGGGGCCCAGAACAGCATCCCTACAGGGGATTGGACTAGATCAGGCATCCCCAGACTCGGCCCTCCAGATGTTTTGGGACTACAACTCCCATCATCCCTAGCTAACAGGACCAGTGGTGAGGGATGATGGGAATTGTAGTCCCAAAAACATCTGGAGGGCCGGGTTTGGGGATGCCTGGACTAGATGACTCCAACTCCACAATTCTATGATTCTACTGTAACATTTAGAAGCTTTAGTCCTGACAGCACCTGTCACATGATTATCCCTGCTCCCGGTCTGCTTTCCTGCTGGTGGGGGCAGCAATGTGATGCTTGTCCTCAGTGGCTAACTACTAAATGTAAAGCAGTGATGTGGAGAATTCTCCAGAAAGGATGAATTCTGTTTCTGTCCGATCCAATCATAGAGGGATTTATGATCTTTTGGGAGCTCAATTACCAAGCTTCAAATAAAGACAGTTCCTTATCAGGTATGAAATATAATATTTACTGGTGAAAACTAAGGGGGCAAGTGTTGGCCAGTATGCCTGATCCATAACATAAAATTAGAAAAGTGCATGATTTGTTTATTTTTTGGGGGGAAATACGTTTTAATGTATGTTTACAGAAAATCCTCATTATTTGATCTGCGGAAGGGACATGGAAGAGACTTAAGGGCCTCAGACATAAGGTTACCAGGTTAATGAGCTAGATGGATGGGATAGAAAGGACTGACAAAACCTGAGACCAGGAGGAAGAGACGCTGGATGAAGATTGGAAGAAAGTTTTAAAAATTCTATTTAGGAATGTTTTGTAAAATTAATGAGTATTAGAAAAATGTTGGAACGAAATTATTTGTCTTTAGCAGAAATGTTAAAAAGAACTATGCAAGAATATGCCATGGTTATGAGAAATTGGTATAAATAAGAGTTAAGTTTTAAGTTCTAGGGTTTTTTATGGTAAGATAAGGCTAAAATAGATTAAGGTAATTTAATAACAGAATATTATGAAAAATGGAAAGGATTTGCTGAGATAATTAACAACTAGAATACAAAAAAGGGAGGTGTGAGGAGGTCAATGAAATAAGGTTATGACAGTTAAGGATTTGAGAATACTGGATCTGCTTTTAAATTTTTTCTTGTTTATTTCTGCTTTTTGATTTTGATGTATTATGTGTTTTGCTTTTGTTTTTTGATTTTGACTTTTATCGATTTGTATTGTTTAATTGTTACCTGTTTCTTTTTTTCTTTTTTTTCCTTGTTTTTTTGTAATCTTAAAATTCTTAATAAATATCATTATATAAAAAAAAATCCTCATTATTTGTTGTTTGTAGGAAACTACATTTCAGGAAGAAATGGAAATGGTAAAAAAGATAATTTCCAAAATCAATTACATCCTATCTTTTCATTCGCCAGTCATGATTATTCAGAAATGGATAAGAGGATATTTAATTAGAAAAGTATTGTGGTAAGTATATTTTTGCTTAGTTTTAATCAGGAGCTGTTTTCATGCAGGGCAGAGTAGCTAATTTAAGCTGACTTTTCAGCCATCTTACTGTACACAAATAAATATGTCTGCAATGCAACATAGCAGACATTACAAGCTTTCTCAAAATGGATGTTTGGGCGTAGTTATATGTTGGGACAGTTTAATTTTAAAAATGTTGTACGTAGGGAAATTGTTCAGCAGATGGCTCATAACTAAAGGGGCAGAGTTGCTGCTTCCTTGATCTGTCAAGTGGTTTTTCAGTCATGCATTATTTCAGTAATTTGGGGAGCAAGAGTGTGCAATCCACTTCTTATTAAAAGACCCATGGCAAAGCATACACTAATTTTAATAGTTTTTGGACTTTTTCATCCAGTATATCTGGAGGTTATGCCATAAAAAAAATCCACTGCCACTCTGATTCTAAACATTTGCAGCAGTCTTCTTGCTACAACACGGAAGTAATGTCTTCTTGCTGGTGCACCAATATAGTTTGTGACATTGAGCTGGGAAAGCGTTTGGTGTATATGACAGCATTCTAACCCCTTTTTGTACTAAGATATTTGGCTTCTGGTCTGAACACTGGACCTTTCATTGTATAAACTGATCTTTGTTTTGCAGACGGGAAAGACATATTGTACAGAGTTCTTGGCTGTAAGTGTATGTAGGGATAAAAAATGTGTTTATATTTATACAGAGCTTCCTATGTGATGCTGAGCCTGCCTTGAGCATAGCAGGTACTCTGTTTTCTACATAGGCCTAAGTTCCAATTATATCTTGTAAGTTCTTATAAATTCTGGCTCCTAGTTGTGATAGGAATACCGACTCTGGAGCTGGAATCTATGGAAACTCACAACATAATTTTTAGTAATTTTTCAAGTCATTTAAATAATAATAATAATAATAATAATTAAAAAAAAAAAAAACCTTTTATTTGTATCCCGCCCTACACAGCCGAGACTGGGCTCAGGGCGGCTAACATCAAATATATAACATTGGTATAAAATCAAACAATAATTAAATTACCTCCTAAAAACAAGTCAGGATCAAATTTAAATCTAATTAGATGGCTTTCCGCAGGATTAGGGTTGGGAACAGTAAATGTTCATCAGGCCCAACTATTTACGCTGTTCTTATATGGGCCTGTGAGAAGTAGATATTCTAGAAACATAAGTTTCTGTTCATTAGTTTCTATTTCATTAGTTTCTGTTTGGCCACTATATTATTTGGAACTGTGTGGATAGAAGAAGGCTATAGGTAATCTAAAACATTTTGTGCCTTCTGTTTTTTAACTTTGTGGTGTTGCAAAAGCAGCAGAAACTCCTGACTCTTTATTCCCCTTGAATGAAAATAAAAATGGTATTGAACCTTAAATATTTGCACAGTATTTGATAACTTAACACGCCATTGCCTTCACAGTCTTCTATAATAGCTTAAATGATGTCACTAAACGTTGTAAGAATATCATACATTATTGCAAACACTTGGATTGTGTGACAATTTTGGAATATGAAAAGCTTTTGAAAAAATGTTTCTCCCATCATGGAGGGTTTATTTCATCTAATTATCACAAGCTTGTAGTGGTTCCCAGTTTTATAACCTCTAATTATTAAAAAAATACGCTGTCATTCAGATGTGTGCATGAAAGTGATATTCGGTGTGAGGAAACATATATAGGACATTGCAAAACAGATTATAAACACATAGCAAGGCATCAAAGGCAAATAAATATAGAATTAATCAACAGTGGCATTCTACAGCTAAAGTGTAGATTAACATATGCACAGAAACAATTGATCATTTAGACAAATTTGTCAGAGCTGAATAGCTGCACTCTATAATATTCCAGAAATAAGTGTCACTGGCATTAACTTTTTTCCTTTCTTGTAGTCTACACACAGAATTTTAAGGAACCTATTAGATGTTGTAATATTGCAGCATGGAGCGCATTGCAGCTCCCCCCCCCATCACAGGCTGTTCTGCAGGGTACCCCAATACTTTGTAAAAGATTTTAGGGTCACAGGTAGAAGGAAGAATGGGCTGAATTTGCGTCCCCTTCTCTTACATCAACTGATGGCTCCACTGGGTCAACAGCTAGTGGAATAACAGCAATAGATTTCACTTTAAAATTTCACATTTTGAACATGTGTAAGCTGCAGCAATGCATACTGTAAAAGCTTATACAGTGGTACCTCGGTTTACGAACTTAATCCGTTCTGGAAGTTCATTCTTAAACCGAAGCTGTTCTTAAACCGAGGCGCGCTTTCCCTAATGAGGCCTCCTGCTGCTGGTGCCCTTCCACCATTCGGATTCCGTTACGTAGAGTTATCAAACCGGGACACTACTTCCGGTTTTGCGGAGTTTGTAAACCAAATCGTTCTTAAACAGGACTGTTCTTAAACCGAGGTACCACTGTACTGCTAGTGTATAGTGACTGATTGGAAAAGTTAACACTCCACACTGCAAGTTTTTGTTACAGGTTGCATTTGTTCTTATTCTCAAATTTTGCTCCTTAATAACAGCTGGAAAACAATTGTCGTTTGGTTTTCCCTGCGGCCATTGTAAACTTTGTGCCAACGCTGTGAACTAGCAGAGTTCTAGTGTTGGACCAGTCAGGGCTACATTTTCTTTGAAATGAACACTTTTCACAGGGTGGCAAATTCTCTTGATTTCTAGGGAGACAAAGAATATTCTTCAAAATCTGTGATGGTGTGGACTGTAACTAACTTAACTGTTCATGGTGGCTGAGGGATTTCTCCCCTCAAATACGACTTGCTTAATCTCTTTATGATACACACACTACTGTGCACTTGCAATCTTTTCACATAATGTTTCAATCAAGGAATTTAAGAATTGATGCTACCTTATTAAATCCAGTATTCAGCTTCTGTGAGCATAGTTGCCAAATTGCACAAACATGTCCAGGGAAGAGAGCAGCAAAATACTAACATAACTGAGGACAAAGCTGAGGACACCTTTGTACGTGTGCTTGCCATGACAAGACTTAGGTTCTTAATATGCTTGGTGTTTTCCATTGTATGTGCAAACACACACCCCAAACTTCTGCAGGAAGTGAAACTTTTAGAAGTATTATGCTACCTAGAGTAGCTGCAGCAGAAGTACATTAGTATACATGATGGGGATCAATATGCATAGTAAAAGTTCACGGACTTTGTTGCTGTTAATGCACGTGCCTAAGTGATGTGAATGACTAACTGAGATATTTCAGATGTTTAAAAGTTTTCTTTGGTCTTTTCAGTGTGATATCTGAAAGAAAGTATATTCTCCAGGGTATTCTGCATTCATGTCGTGGGTGCACTACACCCCACACCAGATGATGTTAAATTCATGCTTAGCATCATAATTTCTAAGATGAAAAGCACTGACTTGTGCCTTTGTATTATTTGTACACAGATGGTGTTCTGTGAAGCATTCAGCAAGCAAGCAAACCACATCTGTCAAAACACTCTCCATCAATTCCAGCATCTTGTGCTGAGTAGCAATTGAAAGGTTGTCAGTTTAGATCAATGATTCTCATACCACGTTGGGTTGACTGGTCATTTGTATGAACTGAAAAGCCCAACTAGCTCAGGAGCTGCAGGTAGCTCATTTGAGCAGTTCAGAAGCCATTTCTTGGCTGATCGAGGAAGTGAATGATGAAGTCCACTGTAAGGCTATTCTGTAGGAACAGTCTCTTGAATCTCCTTTCCTCCCACTTTCAGTCACATGCAAGGACTGACGCATGCTGGAACTCCTCCCCAGAGGAGGAGGGGAAAGTAATGGTAGGACTATGATAATCCCTAGGGGCCTTTAAACTGGCCTGTAGTAGGAAGTGAAGAAGCAGTGGCAGTTATGGAAGAGGACTGATTGGTTGGAAGAGAAAAACAGTAGAACAAAGGGAGAATTAGAAAATCTGTGATGGGGACAAAGTGAAATATGTCTTATTGTGGGACAGCACTCCTTAGCACTGTAGCATCTCTGTAGTTCTAAAGTTTTGTTTGTTTTTCTTCTTTGGAGACACAGAACACACCTGAGGTCCATGTATTTGTGCTATCCATCTACATATCTTGTTGCTTAAAGCAACACTGAATATTGACAGCCATCTTTGTTTTGATACACACAACCATTTGGCATGAAAAGTGAAAGCTACTTTAAAGATAATCTTGTCAAGCTGTTACTCTGATGAAGAGTGACAGACTCTGCATCATTTTGGCAGACAGGTCAAGTTTTCTTTGGGGAAGTGACAATTTTCCTTTTTTTTCAACTAATGAAAAGTCTACAAAATGCGTCTTCCCTGAGCCAAATGTATTTTGAAGAGAGAGTGCACCGAAAATGAAACATAAAATGCATGCCTTTACATATTGGCACCATGGTATGCATCCACAGAAAACCTGTGTGCTGTTGAAAAGTTTAATAGAAATACAAACTTGAATGTCTTTCAACAGTGGGATGTTAGGAAGATTTCAATGGCTTTGCAGGCATATACACAAAAACAAGTGTTTTAAGATCCAAGTAACAATTTCTTATAAACTGGATCTTTTTGGCACATATGATAGTGGAATACTTATATAAACTCTACTAATTTGTGAAAACTAGCTTTTCAGGAATAGCAATAGTTGCATTTGAGTCCATTGGCGCTTGGCTGCAGAGGACTCCTTAGAAGATGTATAGTTGTTAGATTATTATGACCCTGTCAGGGGTCTTCTCTAAGTAAAAGTTGCTGATACTACTCCCTAGCCCTTGGGCTAAGGTTAAATAAATAAGTGATGGGAAAGGACATTTGAAAATTGACTCTCAGTACACTGTGATATCCATCAGAATAAGTTCAGGCATCATCTCAAGTTACTCAATTCTATATCAACTAACTAAGAATGAAGTTGAGAGCTATAATAAATAACAATACATAGTATTTAGAGTGTTCAAAACACTTCACACACTTTTCAGCAGCCCTGCAAATTGTTGTCCATATATTATTGTTCCCATGTTGAAGGCTGGAGGAGAAGTGAATCTCAAAGGTTTGAACATTGATTTAACTGGCTAACATAAAAATGTAGAGTTTGGATTTGACACAGGACTTATAAAAGTCATTTGCAAAAGAACTTGCATGTGTACTTGCTTTTTCAGAATTTTATGCACAAGCTTCTTAGTATTCTAGAAAGAAAATGCTAAGAAGGTGCTACAAAGACTTAATAATTTTTCAGGAAGAGATTAAGTCTTCTTAATGCCTAAACACATCATAGCATAGTTGCATTCTGCTAATAGATGTTCAGAGCATACACCTTACATATTTCTCCTTCATGCTTATGCATTTTACAGGTTATTAATAGCCTCTAGTATATAATACTAAAAAATGTCAGTGCCTCTCCAATGTCTTCAAAATAATTTCATTATTATGTTAATATGAAGCCCTCTGTGGATAATGTTTTGTCAATCGTTTTTAAAAGGGACTGTATGTTACATTATAAAAATTATATGCTTAACTCTTTCTAGTTGGTAAGTAATTACCATGACCAGCTCCATGAACTTTGAAGATCACTTTCAAATTGTTTTGCCTAAGATTTACCCCATTTTTGTTTTAAAATCATGGAGTTGGAAGGGACCATAAGGGTCTTCTAGTCCAACCCCATGCAATGCAGGAATCTTTTGCCCAACACAGGGCTTGAACCCATGAACTTGAGTTAGGGTGTTCAGAATTTCCCAGACATAGAGGAGATTCGGCCGTCAGAAATAGCGTCCGGGCAGAAATCACTGAAATGTCCGGGGGAAAAGCTCAACAACTTTGAGCAGAACTGAAAAAAGCTCGAGACTTTTGCTCCTACCCCCACCAGGCAACCCTACTTGAGTTTAAGAGTCTCATGCTCCATCAATTGAGCTACCCCACAGGCACCAAGACTTCATAAGTTTCTGAGTCACTCTGTAGTCTTCTCTGTCTGGAAAATTCATGGCTATCTTTTTTCTCTCTGATAAAGTGAAACCAATCTGACTGGCAAAATGTCCAGCTTTGAGCTTGAGAGGCGATGTTTGTAGAGATATGTAGGGACCTTTCATTTTGATTGACACTTCTAGCGTTAATCACAGCGAATTATTTTCCCAGGGTACTCCAATCACAGTTAGAACTGATGTTTTCATTGTCACATATAATATGGTTAGGAGAGAATAGCAGCATTTTTAAAATTCAGCCTGCAATTCAGTGCACCCTTTCTTGAGAATAAGACCCATTGAATTTAGTGAGACTGACTTTAGAGTAAACATGCATAAGACTGCACTCTTATTCTCTCTGATCATAGTAAAATGTGCTTTGCTGAGATATGTTTGAAAATATACATCCCATTCCTTCTTTAAAACTGCATAGTCCAATCCATAGATCTTCAGGCATAATCATAATTGTAGTCTCCTCCTTCTTCATACCACTAAATGCATGTTTGAAGAAGGTGACAGGCTCCATCTTCTTTCCTTTCACAAGCAAGTAGCATTCAGCTATCATAACTTGGTAGAGCAGTATTTTGTGCTCTTGTGAGTCATGTGTACTCTCATAGCCTGTTTCCTGATGGAGAAAACCCACATTAAATTTAAGCTAAGCTTGAATACAGTGATCCTTTCAGCTTTTCTTTAATTTTAGACAGCTAACCGCACTTTTCCTATTCTTTTTTCAGCGTCTCTACAGGGCTTTATCAGAGATTTTGTTCACATATATCACATGTATCTGTGACAAGTTTCAGCAAATTCAGTAATATATATATAGTGACAGAGATTGCAATCCTATCCACACCTACCTGGGAGAAATCCCCATTAAAGACTGTGGGGGCATACTTCGAATACTGGAAGGATGAATGAGATCATGAAATTAAAATTAAGGAATTTGATCTCAGTGTTTCGTCAGTCACATTTTGATGCGATGTACACTGTTTATTTGTCAACAACATGAATAATGCTTTGGAAAATACTTAAAAAGATTTAAGGCACAGTAAGAGCTGTGTTATCATCACTACCTTGCTTTGAGTTTTCACCTCCTTAAAATAAATTTGCCAAACCTTTGTTTCTTACAGCCTGGTTCCTATGCAAGATGTTCTGCGATATAAACGTTACATGAGAGGTGGACTAAAGCTACCACCTTTAGGATCTGATAGGGATGTGAAGCAGACAGCTTTGACTAAGATGGAACAGCATGCGGAGGTCAAAACGCATGCCCCTGGAATCACAGTAAGTGTGCTATTTATATATTAATTTGGAAGCTAGGGTTGTGCATCAGATTTTCCCGAGGCAAACTGGGCATATTCGGCAGGATTTAGGTGTTGCCTGAGTTAGGCTTAGGTAGTTACGGATCGCTGCAGGTCGGGTTGGGTGGCCCAGAGTGATCTAGGACTGTTAGGCACCAAGCAAAAAGGAGAGGCAGGCATCATGTTGGAAAACCCCATTGAAAGGCTGAGACATACCTGGCTAAAAACCCAAGAATGCCCAACTTTCCCACTTGCCTGATGCCCCTTGCCTGAAGCACCATCCTGCAGGATTATTGTGGAGGCATCAATCTTGCTGCTGCAGGAAAGCCACCTGCAAAGCAGCAACCCACAGACTTGCACCCCCTTAGTTGTGAGTGGGGAGGAGAGGCAACGCCTCCTTTCCTCGTGCTCCTTGCCTGCTGTATGTTTAATTGGTGTTTTAAACAATTAATTAAGCATTATCCCTCCCCCTGAACTAATTCGTAACCAGATCCAGGCTGGGCAGATGGTACCCAGCTTGGCCTGGTGTGGGTTGGCCTGACAGACACCCTTTTCCTTCTCCATCAGGGCCATAAGTTGCATACAGCTCTATCAAAAACTATAGGAGAGAATCTGCATTTTACATTTAGTAGCAAGAATCATTCTGTGGATCCAAGGAAAATCAGTAGAACCCTGGGAAATTTGTCCATATTTGATTATAAGGAATTTACACTTGTAAATTCTGTACACTTTGCACAGATATATTAGAAATGTGCTCCGAATGACACTTTTTGGGCAACATTGTATCTCACATACAATGTTATTTTTACCAGTACAGAAGCAAGGCAGTGGGAACCCTGGAAGATTCAAATTAAGTACAGTGGTACCTCTGGTTGCAAACGGGATCCGTTCCGGAATCCCATTCGCAACATGAAAAGAGCGTAACCCACAGCGGCGCGTCTGTGCACACGCAGGTTGCAATTTGCCGCTTCTGCGCATGCGCGTGACATCATTTTGCATGTCTGTGCATGCGCGAGCGGCGAAACCCAGAAGTAACCCTTTCCGGTACTTCCGGGTCGCCATGGGACGTAACCTGAAAGAACATAACATGAAGCGGATGTAACCTGAGGTGTGACTGTACAAATTTGACCATGACAATGGGATCCTAAGAATCACCTCAGAAAGCAGTTTTGAAGGGTAACCAGTTTGACAGCATCTTCTCAATCCCACACTTCTGTACCATATACCGCTTGTGGGATTACCTTTTACCCCAAAATCTTAAGTGCAGGGGGTACCAAGTTACCACCTCAGAAGCGAGTAAAGGTAAATATGGCTATGATTACTTGTAGGGTCGAGAGCCTTGTGGAATCCAAATGCCCTGACCAGGTATAGTTCTGATTGAACTGAATTCTCAGACACTTACAATTCTTAATCTGTTCTATATTTATACAGTCTATTTCCACTTACGTAGGTGTGAACTTTTAGCAGACAAACCATCTTAGTTTCAGCATAACTCAAGCTGAGGAATTCCTTTTCACAAAATAATTCAAGGTCTCTGAGAAAATGTCTCATAAAGCTTGTGGCTATGAATTGTAGGAGAAAAGCGCTGAGGACCTTGAAGATTTGGGGTAATGTTATTTATATGAAAATTGAATGGGGAAAAGTGAGGGAGGCTAGCAGATATCCCTGTCTTGCATCCCTTGAAGTTGGAATCACCTTGTTGAGGTCACCATTAAAGCCAGCTCACCAATCTGAAAATAAAGAGTTTTAATTAAAATCCAGATTTTCTTGTCAGTACTTGTAGTGAGCAATTAAAGCCCAAGTCCGTCTCTGTGTATCAAACCCAAGGTCAAGGATAATGTTAGTATGTTTGAAGGAAGCGAGTTGTGTGGGTGGAGCTTGTAGTATAATGCTGGTCTTACAGGTAGGCATATCTGATACTGCTCACATTTTTCGTCAAGATTCTTTGGTGTAAGGAAATATACATTTCTAGCTAATCTTATATACTTGATCATTTCATGTTTTTCAGATATGATTAAATATGTTGCATAATGAATCTAAATACTCTGTGAAGGGTTTTCTGCAGAATTTGCTGGTTTGTGGACTGCAGTTTGCTGAGTAGTCATTAGGACTCAGTGAAAAAATATACTGTATTTAAATTATTTATTTTTTAAAAAATAGACAAAATGAGAGTTTTGAACTACCAGATGCAATCATACAAAGTCGATTTTAAAAAAAGCATATACAAGCGTTTTATATTATTTTCTTAAGTCTTAATTCTTTCCTTTTATTTGCTTTTTCAAAACAAATACTAGCAGTCTGTTTGGAGAAACTAGCAGAACGAATTTCAACATTGATATGTCTAAATTACATCCAAAAAATAAGAGCAAATATTATTAAAGCAATGTGGCAGCAATCTGTGTTAGAGTGGATATAACAAAAGAAATGGCTTGTTCCATCACTAGGAATTGCAATGATATATTTTAAATTGACATGAAATGGTTTCTGATAGGGTGGGCAACATCTGCTTCCACTTTGTGTGATGGTGGCCTGTGGCTCCAATATGCAGGCATCATTGCGTGAGCATACAATTCAGAAGTATGCCTCTCCATAACTCTGTTAGGAATTTTCTCTCCACGCTCCCCCCCCCCCCCGTCTTTCCTTAAGCACTAAGCTACTGAGGAAGACAGTTTCCTCTTATTAAAAGCTTGCCCTAGTAGAAATCTCACAATCAAATTTGCACAGTTGTGTCATGGGGTGCTGCAGGGTGGTATTCTATCTTCCAATGTTTAACACCTACTTAAAGTCATTCATTCGGGAATTTTGGGGCCAGGTGTCACCACACTCATCTCTATTTCTGTATAACATCTGGATTAGGAGAGAGTGTGCAGGCCCTGGACTGGGTCTGGATGCAGAGGTGGGCTGGATGAGGAGAAATAAGCTGATTTGAATCCTTGGGATCTTTGGGTGAGTGATTCTTGTGTCAGAGAAATTGATCAGTCGCCTATTCTGAATGGGTTTTCACTTCCTCCGAAGGAGCTAGTTCAGAGCTTTAGGGTGGTCTTTTATCCAGATTTGTCACTAGCCTTGGGGGTTAGAAGTTGCTTTTACAGGCTTCAGCTGGTAAGACAAATGCCAACATTATTGGACCAGGTTAGCTTGGCCACAGATGCTTTGGACTACAACTCACATCATCCTTGACTATTGGCTATACTGGCTAGAGCTGATGGGACTTGTAGTCCGCAACACATGGTGGGCACCAGGGTACAGGTGTTTTGTTTTTGCAGCTATGCCTTGTTAAATTCTGGGTCTGCTTTTCTAATGTTTGATGAAGTTTCCATTCTGTGGAGTATTTGTAGATTTTAAAAACCACCTTGCTTGTGCTCATGGATTTGTCTCACTGGATTGAGACAAAACATTTCTTGTGAATTTAACTTTCATAAGCATAACCAAATCCTCTCAGTGGTCTAGGACCGGCACATTGTATTTGGTCATACAAGTAATGTAGAAATACTGACATTTGACAGCCCTTTTACAGATTTCATAGTAGGTGAAAGCAAGCTGAATTCCAGTAAATATCCATGCAGTACGTAATAGCTGCAAGAGTCTGCATTAGCTCAAATAAGACATTAATTTAATGATAATGAAATCCATTGATCATTAATCTAACAATCAAGGGAACTGAAACTATTTCCTACTCACAAACTGCAACAACTGGGCGGCTTCCAGCAAAATATTAAATACAATAGTCCTTCAGCTTCCCTAAACAGGGCTGCCTTCAGATGTCTCCTAAAAGTCTGATAGTTGTTTTTTCCTTTGACATCTGGTGGGACGGTGTTCCACAGGGCGGGCGCCACTACCGAGAAGGCCCTCTGCCTGGTTCCCTGTAACTTCGCTTCTCACAGTGAGGGAACCGCCAGAAAGCCCTCAGTGCTAATAACTAAGGAGATAGTACAGGAATACTTGGCTAGTTTAGATGTATTCAAGTCTCCAGGGCCAGATGAACTGCATCCAAGAGTATTAAAAGAACTGGCAGATGTGATCTCAGAACCACTGGCAGTCATCTTTGAGAATTCCTGGAGAACAGGCGAAGTCCCGGCAGACTGGAGGAGGGCAAATGTTGTCCCTATTTTCAAAAAGGGGAAAAGAGAGGACCCAAATAATTACCGCCCAGTCAGTCTGACATCAATACCAGGGAAGATTCTGGAGCAGATCATTAAGCAAACAGTCTGTGAGCACCTAGAAAGGAATGCTGTGATCACCAATAGTCAGCATGGATTTCTGAAAAATAAGTCATGTCAGACTAACCTGATCTCGTTTTTTGACAGAATTACAAGCCTGGTGGATGAAGGGAACGCAGTGGATGTAGCCTACCTTGATTTCAGCAAGGCATTTGACAAGGTGCCTCATGATATTCTTGTAGTGCTGGACCTCAGTGTCCGGACAGAATGATGGGGGTGGAGACGCTCCATCAGGTATACTGAGCCAAGGCCGTTTAGGGCTTTAAAGGTCAGCACCAACACTTTGAAATGTGCTTGGAAACGTACCGGGAGCTAATGTTGGTCTTTCAAGACCGGTAGTCTCGGCACCACTCCCAGTCAACAGTCTAGCTGCAGCATTCTGGATTAGTTGTAGTTGCCGGGTCACCTTCAAAGGTAGCCCCACGTAGATTGCATTGCAGTAGTTGAAGCGAGAGATAACTAGAACATGCACCACTCTGGCGCGACAGTCTGCGGGCAGGTAGGGTCTCAGCCTGCGTACCAGATGGAGCTGGTAAACAGCTGTCCTGAACACAGAATTGACCTGTACCTCCATGGACAGCTGTGAGTCCAAAATGACTCCCAGGCTGCACACCTGCTCCTTCAGGGACACAGTTACCCCATTCAGAACCAGGGAGTCCTCCACACCTGCCCGCCTCTTGTCCCCCAAAAACAGTACATATGTCTCGTCAGGATTCAACCCCAGTCTGTTAACTACCATCCATCCTACAACCACCTCCAGACACTCACACAGGACCTTCACTGCCTTCACTGGTTCTGATTTGAAAGAGGTAGAGCTGGGTGTCATCTGCATATTGATGAACACCCAGTCCAAACCCCTGATGATCTCTGCCAGCAGCTTCATGTAGATGTTGAAAAGCATGGGGGAGAGGACGGAACCCTGAGGCCCCCCACAAGTGAGGGCCCAGGGATCTGAACACTCATCCCCCCCCACTTTCTGAACATGGATCCGAGTTTAACTAGAGCTCACTTGCGCCTATGTGCTCATAAGCAGAGGCCTTCAGTTTAGTCACCACTGTAGTCATTTAAAAATGCCCCAAGAATAGCATATGATTCTGCTCAAACTGAGAATTTTCTTTGTTTGTTTGCACAGATAAAGCTAAGGTGCCCTTGCCAGCTACAAGCTGCAGAGAAATGCATCTTGGTGTAACAGATGATGAGTGAAAGGGTTGTTTAGTTTAAAAGCTGGAATTTATTCAAGGAGCATAGAGATGTGAGGTTGGAACAAGTATGCACTCATCCATGCAAACAGTGATGTTGCCTAGAGAGACAAATAATTTCTGAAGGAAGGGTAGAAAAGAAGAATTAGCATTTTTTTTACTGCATCATTAAATGGATAGCAATAAAGTTAGTAAAAAATATATAGCCAAATGAGTGTTGCTGATGGGAAGATTTTTGGAATATTGCTATAGCAATATCTCTGACAGATGAAATGTTGATTTTAACAGATTAAAGAAGTGAAAGATCTTAAGGAGCTTCATTTATATTTGAGAAGATTAAAATATCCCATTATCTCGACCTTACTCAGATTGGAAGAAAAGAAAAAAATGAAAGAAAAGAAATCCAAAAGGTCACCAAAGAAGGGTTAGTAATTTACGTATTTTTTATAGCATGTGAAGGAAGGATATTTTAGGAGATGGTTATGACATTTCTGTACTGCATACAGACCTATGGATATCCTTACACCTTGATTTCTGACCATTATATTAAGTATTTATCTACTTTCATCTCAAAATGTACTTACTTGATTTTAGCGCTGATCTGTTCATGCTATTAGTGTTTCATCTTTCAATGTTATGGACAAATATTTACACAGTATGTTTTTTCCCCATTTTGTAGTCAGGAAGCAAGTCTGTGGGCAAGTTTGCAATGCAATGACTAGAAATGTGCCATTTGATTTACAAAAATCTGCAGAATCTGAATGTTTGTGTCAACCCTCTCTGCAGTATTCAGGGAGGGATTGTTAACACATGGGTGCATTTCCTTAATAAAATGACAAGGACCTCTGCTAATTTCTTGAAAGTCGGCTTTGACATTGACGTATGAGACTGAAAACGTTTATTTATCCGTCATCGTCAGTGTCATTCACGTGGTGTCCGGTTATTAACCATGTATGTCCTAGAGTTCCTCATTTGGAATATATTTTGCACAACTCTATAGACTACAGGCCTCTGACGAAATGTTTGCAAGGTGTTGGGCATCTAGTCTGTACATAGAAACGTGTGTTTATCTGCAGCACTGACTAGGGAGCACATGGTATTCCACACCTAGTTGCATGATAAGACTATTGTCTAGGACCATTCATATCTGGTGTGAATGTGCTGTGTAATCTCAGAGCGATTCCAAGCTCTTATCATTACCCTCTTGATCACAGCTATAAGTACACTCATTGGTGGCCATTTTTCTGCATTTGTTTGTTTCTTTGAAAGCATCCATCGACAGTGTTGTGGCAGGTAGTGTAATGCTGGTCCTCAAATGGTTTTTCTCCCCATCCTCCTCCCTTGCAAGCATACTGTGGACATATAAGCATTGCAGTTTTACAAATAGCACTCAACTAAACTGAAATGTGCCTTACTTTGATTCAGAATGGGTCACAGTTTCTTCTCTGATGGAAGAAAAGTTGTGTGATCTCTACCACACAACTTCTTTCCCCATCGTCCTCCATTGCAAAGAGTTAGTGGACACTGACACATTGCAGTTTTATTATATGTAGCAATGAACAGAGCTTTGGTCCCAGGCTCGCTGTCATGAGTGTGTGCACAGTTAAGTCATACCTCTTCAGTAGTGAACAGAGACCAAGATCTCTGCTTGTTTGGCAATGCTTTCTTAGTCTTGTTTTAAAAAACAGTCACAGGTAAAGTGAGTGGATTACTGGAAACTCAGATTTTGTAGGCATGAAAGTGGCATTGTTGAGGCCACTGAAGCTGTTAGTTAGCTTTTACTGAAAACAGGGAGGGACCAAGAATAAAATAGCTTTGGGGTCCTTGCCATGAGTAAAATGCAAGTCCATCTACTCTGATCTGTAGGTTAAAGCTGTCTCAACATACAAAAATTGAAAAACATGGGTTTTAATAAAAAACATGGGTTTTTGTTTTAAAAACCAGCTATGGAAAGTTGTCATTCTCAAGATTTCAGAACATTTTTGCCAGGATACTGGGGCCTCTTGAGGCCTTCAGACCACCGTGTGCTGACCATCTCAGATTTAATGGATTCAGCAAATTTGAGTAGACAAAAATGTCATTAGTATTATATAGAACCATTCCTACATAGCTGTTTTCATTTATTTTTATTAACATTTCAGTGCATAAAGATTTTTACTGATGTGCAATGTGGGTTTCATTATTAATCTTTTATGTTGTGTTAATGAAGAGGAAATTCTATGCATACAAATGTGCTTAAGTACTTTGCTTAGCAGTGTCTGACTGTGGTGGTTGAAGGATTTCTGGGTCATGGGGAGAAGTTATAGTTACATTTTCAGATTCATTGACACTGATTTTCATTATTTTTAACGACACCTTCTCAAGTCACCTTCTGAAAGCATATATTGTGTGGTTCATTGTGGCATGTCAAAACACTGTATTGTGACAATCCTCCAACAATCACTCAATAAAGTAGCTAAAAACATAACTGTTGCCAACACTGTCTAGCAAGGGCATTGGTATTTCTAATTGTGTTATTTTTGGTGACATTCCAGGGGGGCTTTTTATTTTCTTATAGATTGGTTTATGACACCTTTCCTACTCGCATAAGAATTCTTTCTACTTCCCTCAGTAACTTTGATGATCCCCAGTGGAGTGGCTTATCTTTAACAGTGTTTTCGTTATCTGCCACACTGCATTTCTACTGGCAAGTTTTAGATAATGGCCTGTTTAAATTTAACATCTCATATCCTTTTCTTGTGAGAAATATTCCAGTTTGATTCGGTTACCTTGGTGAGCTGTTTCGACTTAAATTTATTTAAACCTAAGAGAACATGGTATGGAACATCAGTGAGCTTGCAGTCTAAAGTCAGGCTAGTGTAGCTGACAGGAGGTGGTATGAAAAAAGGAAAGTTGTGTTGCTTCTGGAAAGGTACGGTTCAGGAAGAATGCTTTGAAGAAGGATTTGAAGCCATTCTGAGTGTAGTTTGACAGAGGTATAGATCGTTCCAGTTGCAGAGAGTGGCACAGAAATGGCACAGAAACATAAAATGGAAGCAGGTCGTTAACAAAGGCCAATAGCAGATGAGTTCAGGTGAAAAGAGGGAATTGGGGAAACATTGGTACTGTTCAATACAGAGACAAGATGAAGGTTGTGTAAGTTAAAAACATTATCAGCAAGATATTGTGTGAGTGGCAGAAAATGACTTGGAGCCAGCAATGCCAGATAGTTGTGACTTGGAAACAAGTGAACATGGGTCTTCTTCTGGTGTTCTACACAAGTCAGACCCATCTCACAGGTCACTAGTGAGAGAATTGATATCTGGAGTGATATGCGCAATAATAGAAGCACTGCATGCTTCCAGGTTTTGTGAATTTTCTTGCCTGTAGTTGCTGTTCTCACCTTGGGATTTAATTTTAAAAAACCCTGACCTGTTGACAATGATTTATTCTAATTCCCATTTTATTCCTTGATTTCAATGAGAAATTATTATTATTTTGCTAAAATTATTCTGCTAAAAACCTCACAGTTCTAAGACATAGCATATACATATTTATATGTATTGCATTTACAATATTATATGCATATTACATGCACATACAGCCCCACTTTTTTAAACTAACAGACACATAGACAGATACATACAATCCATGAAATTGTATAAAATGTTTATGTATTAATACTTATAAAATCATGCTGCGGAAATATACCGTATTGGCCTGAATATAAGCCGCACCTGCAAATAAGGCACACCTTTAAAATTTGGCTGCTTGGGGGAGGATTGGAATCCGCAGATGAGACAGGCGCCGTTGCCACGCACTCCTGGACTGCTTCCTGGTGGAGTGGGGGGAGCCACACCGCTCTGCCGGCGGTGTAAGGTCATGAATATAAGCCACAATTTGACTTTCTACAATCGGAATTTGGGGGGAAAGTGTGGCTTATATTCTGGCCAGTACAGTAGTATAGCATGGGAACTGATGCTTTTATTTGTTAAAAATATTGTGTGTATAATTTTGCACGCGCACACACATGCATATATATATTCACAAGCAACTTGGTGCTCAGCACAAAAGGGGATCTGATGTGGGGAAAGCTTGATTGGGTCAGAACCACCAAATTCCAACTGCTTCCTCTCCATCTCTGATGTTGTTTCTTGCCTGCTCCTCACAATGACTTTGCAGCTTCCAGAGCTGGGAAGAAGTGGCAGCAGCTTTTTGCTCACCAGAAAATGCATGCTTTGCCATTGGCATTTCAAATTTGTCATGTTGGCTGGTATCCACTAGCCTGGAAATCGGTGAAGACACTGCCTTCTAGTTGTGTGTCACAGAAGCTAGAACCATCTCAGAGGTCACCAGTAAAAAGATTCATATCTAGTGTGCTATGCGCACTTAATGTCATGTGCTTCAGCATTGTTATTCACCAACAGAAATGACATTATTCACTGACCTGCACTTTCTTATACCTTCCTACTCATCATTAGGCTAGCCTAACCTGCAGAAGCCTTTTATCTTGGGAACACGGGAAAATGGGATCTAAAACTTCTTCTGGAGTACTTTCAGTTAAATGGCATAATGCTATGGGCTTCCTTGATATTGCACTATGCTTGATTTAGATTGTTTCCTAATGGGTTATCCATTTCAGTATAGCATATGCTTATAGAAAAGTACCTTCATTAATTACAAGACACTTCTGGGGAAACAATAGATTTGTAACTCTCCCGCTCCCTTCACAAACTTGTTTATTAATGTATTATATTTAAGCTGGTTAGCATTTGCATGTCAGTTTCCCCCAGTCATTTTAAATTTGATTATGAATGATTGGGTGCAAAGTCATAGGTAGGTGAATCGACAGGAAACCAGATGTGACCAACCAAATAACAAATTGCTTGCTTTTGATAAGGGCCAAGATCCAAAGAATTATCCACCCAGTTCCCTAAACTCAAAGAGGCTTGGCCTTATGCACATTCTTAAATTGGAGCTCTTCTAAAGCGGTTCACAAATGAATCAATATCATTAATTCTGCCAGCACTATAAGTATGCTGGGAGGCCAATAGGTATGTGTTAGCTTTTCAGTCTGTTTAAATAATTTCAAGAAGCCATCCTCAGTTTCCCCCCCAGCAAGGAGGTCATGTAATAGATTGCATAATCCTTAAAGGGTTATTATAACAAATCTGGCAGGAAGAAGTGTAGAGATGTATGCCAGTGGGTTATACTGTACCACACATCTTGGATAAAAGCGGTCTTTCTGTCTCTTCCTGGCATGCTGTTCACAGTTTTACCAGAACAGACCTCGTTTTGTTAAAACAAATACCTTGTTTTCTATTTTAAAAAGCAGGTGGGTGAGACCGGAAGTGTTTTTTTGTCCCGTCCCCCCCAATGTGGTTTGATTTCAAACTCCACAGGCAAAGGAAGCAGGGTTTGCAAGAGCTGCCCAATCAGCTGATTGGTAGACCCTGCAAGGATTGCTTTCAGCAGGGATTGGCTCCATTTGGGAGCTCTTGCACCAGATTTTAAAGCCGCTGATTACAAACCCTGCTTGCCAAGTAACAACTGGGAGCGCACTTTAAGGCTCTCAGTTGTTCCTTTTCGGCTAAATCTTTGTCTTTCCCACACCTGATGTCAACATTTTGAGGGGCAGGTGAATGTGGCTCGGGGGGAATCGCCTTGTGAGCCAAATTAAGAACCTTGCTGGGCCTAATAAAGCACACAGGCTGCAGGTACCCTTGCCGCAGATATAAAAAGAACAGAATGAGCAGAAATAATAAGTTACAGTTGAGAAAAGCGAAATGAAATTTAGCGTGCTCGTTTTCCTTATTTGCGTGCTTGGTCTTTGGCAGTGGTATACCAATGTAATATCAGATTTGGCTTACCATCAAATGGATCAGTTTCCCAGACTAGCAACTTTGCAGGGGTGTTTTCAGCACAATCTGCTCCCAGTCATCCCTCCCTTATCCATTCTTGCTGTTGCTGTTCCGAAACAGCCCCCTCCTTTTTCATTTTCACCCCCCTGTATCTTTATTAGGCTGTAAATCTGTCACCTCTGTATATTGTACCTAATGTTGAATGAAAGTCTTATTTAATAGGGGGAGGGGAGAATATACCTTCTTCTGTTACTGCTTCCTCCCTCTCTTGAGCATGCAACGTTCTCATGCATATTTGAACCTAGCAAATGAACAATTGAGGGATGTGGGGCAGCTACTGGCTAAAATGAGTGGAAGAAACATTTCACTCTATGGCAAGGTTGGAGAAGATGAAAAAAGTACCATCGTATTCCAGGATAAGCTGTTGTCAAGGGTTAGTGGGGATATATGGTAGGCCTTGAAGGGCACAGCTGGTTTGGGCAAGCAAAGAACTAGTGCAGGGTTTTCCAAACTTGGTTCGCCAGCTGTTTTGGGACTACAATTCCCATCATCTCTGACCAATGGTCCTGCTGCTAAGGATGATGGGAGTCGTAGTCCAAAACCAGCTGGAGACCCAAGTTTGAGAAACCTGGAACTAGTGCAAGGATAGCCATTTATCCAGGGTTCCATCTTTGCAAGCCTCATAAGTATGTCCCTGAAGCAGTTGGAAGAATTTTATAGACTTTCCATTATTTGGTTCTTTGGATGGGATTTGCTTCTTTATTTTAAAATGCTATATTGTAACTTTGTTAATGAAAACTTTAATACATTGAAAATATTTGGGGAAATACTAATGTAATTGTTGAACTGTTTTATGTTCAGAGCACTTGGGCTGGAAGGAACCTGAAGTGAAATCTGATGAGACGGCAATGAAATTCAGGCTTTCCATACGTAGAATGCATTTTTATTCATTGCATGATGAGCTGCAGTCGTGTCGAGAGAGAGACAAAGAAATTTTTGACGCTGTACATGACTTGCGTTACTTCATGCAGCCTATAACTCCAACTAAGCCTATTCATGAGCCAGTGAGCATAGATAAGAGGACCTTTGCTAAAGCATTTGGAGCTGTCAGACTTCGCCCCTTGTGTGCTATTGATAAAGCATACTTGGAAAGTCAAAAGTTGGATGTTGAGCTTAAAAAGGAGCGGCATGTCATGCGGATGCAGATTATTAAATGTGAAGTTACAGACTACATCCATCGTTTACAGGAAAATAAAATGGAGAAAGTTCAGATGGAAAACGAAGAGGGAAAGCTCATGACTAAAGATACTCTGGAAGAGCAGAAGAACAAAAGATCAAAGTCAATTAATAAACTGAGGCAAAACTATACCAATTTTGTAAACATCAAGAAGAAAAAGACATTTGAAAATACATTTGTTCAGCGCTTCAGCACTCAACATCTTTCTTTGACGAATGGCTTATTAAGAATGGATGGATGGAGGAAGAATGAAGAATTTGTGAAAGAACGAAAAGTTGTAGTTAGAGGAATTATAGAAGAACAGAAGCAGCGAAGAGAGATGTTCGAAAATTTCCGTGAGGAGAGGTAAGTTTGCTTTTCTTAATTATTCACTGCACATAAAGCTTTGAAGTTTTCACAAATTTATAGATAGTCTTCAAGGATAGTTCTTGTGGAAAACTGGAACCCCCAATAAATAAAGATTTATATCCTGATTTTCTGTGTCATTGTCCAAGATGCCTAAAGTGGCTAATATATATAATATATATATATCCATATATATATATCCCAGTTGCAATATTAGCAAGAGAGAAGCACAGACAATAGTCAAACTTTTAAAACCAAGAGGGTAGTGATTCACAAGCTAGCCAGTGAATTTTCACTTGGTCTTTATTTTTAAAACAAATAAATGCAATTGAGGTCATATTAATCTCCAGGGATAAGGGAGTCCCACAGCTTCATCTATGGGACATGATGAAGAGACATGATCCAGGACCCCTCTCACTGATGTGAGTGGAAGGGCAAACTCCTATGTAAATCATCCACTACGTAGGTGCCAACTCCCTGGGGCCCTGGGTGCCCAAGCACCCACAAAATTCCCCATGAATGGGCCAGGCACCCACAAATTAGGTGCCAGGGCCATGTATGCTGGCACCCAAGTTGGCACTCCTGATCCACTACATCCATTCTAATTCTGCTCTTTGTTTTCTTATATGTCCAAAGCAATTCCCCCACCCACCCAACCCAGTCTTCTCCAGGTTAAAAAGCTTAACCCAGTGTATTCCAGCTCTTTTTTACTTCTACTAATGACCAGACCTCAGACGTTTCCTGATATGTGTGTGGGTGTAAAGAGAGTACTTAGGAAGCTCACTGATACCAGGAAAGTGCTCATTTAGGCCACTGTTGTCTGTTCACACAGACAGTGACTCTCCAGGATCTCAGGCAAAGCTATTTCATATCACCTCCTATCTGAGATCCTTAAACTTGGAGATGTCCTGTGGCACCTGCCTGATAAATAAGCATAAACAGAATATTTTCCACCTCGGTTTTTATTAATTCAAATTTAGGAAAAACACCTTAAATGTGGCACCTTAAATGTTAATACATGTTGTTATAGGATAATTTTTTATGAGCTAGACCTTCTGGAAACTGTCACATTTAGGAAGTATGTGTGCAATACATACATATATAAACACCTTCACAGCACGCATACCCCAAACTGTTCTTTTCCCCTAGAGAGATGGAGAAGTTTATCTCTAGAAGTTGAGATAAAAACAGATCTTGCCCCCTCCCATGATACTGCACTCAACAGCATCTGGATAAGCTGATAGGATTTACCCTTACCTAAACTGAGCCCTTAGCTGTAATACCTTTACTTTCTCTCACAGAAATCAATGGAAGCTATTTAGTTTTATGTAGGAAAGCAAAGGTGTTGAGGTGGAAGAAAAGCCTAGCTTTCAAGTCACATGATACTGCCCTCCATGACTGAGGAGAATATTTTCTCCCACCTTAACGTTATCACCTCACTTTAAGTTTCTCCATAAAAGATAATGGAAAGCTCTTCATTCTTATTCTGACAAGTGCTCAAGAAGAGACCTTCTAGGTGAGACCAAAGACCTATTTGGTCCAGCAAGATGCCTATAGGAAGCTGGCAATCAGGACATGAGTGCAGTAGCCTTCTCCTGCTGTTGTTCCCCAGCAAATGATATTCAGAAGCATGCTGTTTCTGATCCTGAAAGGTGATATCCAGCCATCGGTACCCTTATCCTGCGTGGATTTGTCTAAGGTCGCATTTCAAACCTTCCCCTGCATCCCTGACACATGCAGCTCCTAGGCCAGAAGGTGGGAGAGGCAGGCAGATTTCTGCGCCAACCATGGTTGAAGTGGAACTTCCTTAGGATCCAATGGAACCTGGGCCAGCCCAGCCACTCCTCCAGAATGCCCCGCTTCAGGGCTTTCCATTGGTTATCAGCATCTTCCATTGGTTATCAGCATGAGCAGGCATCTTGTTGATGGCCTGACCATGCACTCAGAGGCTTAGCTAAGAAACCAAGGCAGAGGGACTCCACCCATTCCAGCCCTCCCCACAGCCTCCTGTAAGAGAGGTTGGATTGTTCTGTAATTATTTTTAAAGCTGTCTTAAATGACTATCACTGTATCTTTTGGTGACAAATTAAATTATTATTAGAAAACAGCGTCACAGTGTTGAAACCCAGAGTTCTCAACTGATATGTTTCATAAAGTGGCATTCTCATGGGAATCTGATGGGTCCTTATTTGGCATTCTCTATGTCATGGATATAGGATGAGCATTCTAGTAAAAAAAAAAAATCATCCTAAGAAATGTTCCTCAATATTGATTTTGACAGGGCGAAAGTATTCATTTCAAAAGCAGTTCAAGGCAGTGTGGGTATCTTTACAACATGCACTATGTGTTCAGGTCTATACCAAATTAATTTATTTTGAAATTATTTATTTTAGTTAAATCTTGCTTTACTTTTTTCAACATGCCAAGTTTCTGCTGAAATTTATAGTACTACTGATAATATTCTTGGCCTAGATTTCCCCCCCCTTTTGTACAAAATGAATATCTAGCTAGGAATACTATCTTATCAAGTCATGGTTGTACCCCTTAGATAAGGTTTAGGAAGCCTTGAACATGAAGGCTTGGATGTAGCAAATAATATATTTTATCAAAAAGCCATATGTAGTATGGAAGAATTCTTGACATCACCTAATTGCATTTACTAGCAGCTGTGATATGACATTGTTTTTCTTTATTTTGAAAGGCATACAAACCTAAAGCAAGTGTGTCTTTTTCAAAAGTAGTTTGGAAAGAGGAAATTTGAGTGACTTGTGTTTTCTGTTTCCCTACTTCTGTTTTAACATGGAATTTGGAAACCTCAGATATTCCCCTGGTAGAGCTGTCAGAATACCATGTCATGTATTACAACAATAGAGCCAAAGGAAGCAGAAGCATGAGCCACTCACCCTTCCTCTGAGTTAATCCACACCAGAGTTCAGTGTCTCTAGATTTTATTTCTCATGGCACCTGCACAACATTCTCCTCATCAAAGGGGGCCTACACTTTCCCTATGCTGAATGGGGATATTTCTGATCCACAGATAATCGGATAAGGGAAGGAAATGCAATATAAAAATGTATGTTACTCAGTTGTGAAGCCACTGAAGCACATTTCATGGGTCGGCTTCTTTTACATGTGTGCTGACAGATTGCTGGGGGCGGTCTTATTGCCACACCCCTTACTCCCATTTTTGTTTTCATCAGCCCAAAGGAAAGATGCAGCTCTCTTGCATTGGCTGTTCCTGAAGGTGCATTTGCGGTATTTTTATTTTACAATAAGCTCTTTTGCAGAACTGCTCCTGTATAGAGCAGCTATAGTAAAATGGAAATTAGATTTGTCTCTGCAGGTAGAGGAGGCAGGAAATGGGAATGAAAGGAAGGAGCAGCCTTTCATGTGAGTGACTCTAAATCCTTGCCTGGCTTGGAGCAATACACATTTATTTTTCTGACTGCTTTTTTTTTGTACAAATCTGGCCTATTTGTGTTTTTATTCCTTTTTTTAAGCTGTACTTGCATAGCTAAACAAATACCTGCAGTCATTCCCTCAAGACAGACATACACGTGTGTGTGTGTGTGTGTGTGTGTGTGTGCACTTTTGTGCAAATCTGGTATGTTGGAAAACTTGTATTCCAAAAATAAAGTACGTTAAGCAGTGCATGCACCTGTGCACAAGCTCACATGAGATCTCTGGTTTCCAGATCTTATGGTGAGTAGAGAAGTTCTTATCAATGGAAGGAATCAATTCACAGCACAGTTGTATCCCATGAAGCACCACCACTGTTATGGACAGGAAACAATGAGGTCGATTTCAGAAGCACACAATTGAAAACGCTCAAGCGTGGATGAAGGTTCTGAAACATGCACACAGAAACAGCAACCCACTTACACACGAATGCCACAGTTTGGACACAGCCACTTTCTAATGTCAGAGTACTTGCAGTTCTATCCGACAAACTGACTCAGGGCGCTTCCAGACTGTCACTGTGTTCAAGTAGGATTCAGTCACATACTGGCAAATTCAGGTTGCACAATTAAAGTTGTTTTGGAGTTCTTGTGCAATAATAACAACAATAATAATAATAATAATAATCCCTAAACACCCCCACCCCCCAATATTGGACTTTGGTGCTATGTAAAGTCATGGGGGAAAGCACCAGAAATTGTGGGATAACAGTTGGCTTGATGCAAAGTCCACCAAGCTCCCTGCAAGCTGAATGAATGCTTAATAAATGGCCAACATTGTCTTCTCTCTCTGCAAACAAATAATCATGAATGCTCAATGAACAGATCATGTGGAAACAGCCTCTGTACGAATATTTTTTGTTTTTGTTTTAAGTGGGTGCACTTTTCTGTTAGTTTCTTGCTTGGTTTACCCTTCAGCCTCTGTATCCTTGCTAACAACAAAGACTTGCATGTCAGATTAGGCCTATTTACACCTGAACAATTTTAATGTCTTTAAATTGTGACATTTGTGACACCTGGGCAACCGTGCTGTTTTCAGCAGGTTCCCCATTTGCCTGGCTGAAGTCGATAGGTGATCTTTTGCTAAAATGCAATACGAACTGGCACACTTTTTTCTCCACACACCCTGCATCTTCTTGTTCCTTAGTGATAGGAAACATGCACAATAGTTAGATTTCTTTATTTGCTGGTTATTTTGTAGAGAACGCATTAAGTTAGTACCTAGCCTCGCCTGCATTTATTGTTACTTTGGGGAAAGAAAGTTAATAGAACGCTGATGTCGTGTATCAAATTAAAAATCAAGCGTAAGACCATAAAGGTGAATTTAATTAACTGAATGCTATTGTTATATCTTTGCATAGCTGATTACAATTTAATAGTGAAGCAAAGGGTGGATTGAGGCATCAGTTTCACTCTTGATTGATATAGTTTCTCATTCAATATATTTCACTTTTATGTATCTTTCTACAAAAGATTGTTATGCCTATGGATGTTTCACATTTTTTTAAATTTAAAAAGTCTCATTTTATGGCACCATACATGACACAGAATGGCAGAGACATAGCTCATCCACAGTAGCATTTCTCCAGTTCCCACCCCCTAAATTTATGTAGTGCATTTTTATCCCTCCTTTCTTCCTTCGAGGAACTCAAGGTGGCCTACATAGGCAGCCTCCCATCCAAGTATTGACTAGATTCATACAGTGGTACCTCGGGTTACATACGCTTCAGGTTACAGACTCCGCTAACTCAGAAATAGTATCTCGGGTTAAGAACTTTGCTTCAGGATAAGAACAGAAATCGTGCTTTGGCAGCGCGGCGGCAGCAGGAGGCCCCATTAGCTAAAGTGGTGCTTCAGATTAAGAACAGTTTGAGGTTAAGAACGGACCTCCGGAACGAATTAAGTACTTAACCCGAGGTACCACTGTATATGCTTTGCTTCAGCATGGTGGCTGCATTGTGCCTTGGGACCATTGCCTTTAAAAGGCAACTGAAAGGCACAGGAAAAGACTGGTTGGAATGGAATCTCGTTGGAAAATTGTAACAGTGCACCCAAGGCATATTGCATCCACTAAGCTACCAGAGTTTAGAAAAGAATTTTGAGACTGGGAGCGAAAAGCCATGGTGTGCTCTGTTGTGCGCTTGCTTGTGTCTCACATTTATTGCCCAACACTTATAAAGATGGTGTGATAGTTTCAATGTGGCCTGTTTCTTTAAGTGAAGAAGTGAAAAAACAAACACACATTGAACTTAGGTATGTTGCCAGGTGCCATATTATTCTATAGAATGTGTAGATGGGGGGTGGGGAGGAACAGAGTCAAGATTTGGGTTTTTGACTCAAGGACAGACAAGAGCAGTTTAGAAGTGGTGATGAGGCTTCTTTTTCCCTCCTCCAGGCAAGATATGATGCAAAGACAAAACACAGATGAAAAACAGTTTAGGAACTGTGTGGCCCATGAAATGGCGAGAGAGAGATACAGGCAAGCCAAGGCAAAGGTTGAAGCCATCAAGCAACCCAGACAGATGGCGCTGTACTCCTTGCCCGTGATTGGCAGTTCTGGCACTGCAGTGCCTGTCATAGAGTACGATGGCTAAGATGGTAAGGTGTATAATATGGCAAGTGGAAAGAAGACCATTTGCAAATGGTTCTTTGAATGATCTAGATGAAGCTTCGTTGTCTTACAGGTTTGGAATCTGTTTCTGTTGGTAAGGATTTTGAAACACAAGCCAGAAAAAGACAATTTGATGAGCAGATCGACTACAACATTTGAAGTATTTCAGTATATCCACGTGAGAAAGAAAACAGCTGTAGCCTGTTGTGCTAATTGTTTGCAAATGTTGACTTTTAAGTGGCAAACATTTCAAGCGTACATACAATTACCTCTGTATTTAGCTTTAAAATTAAATTATTCAATGCCATATAAAAATAATTGGGGAAGAATTCACTGGTTGTTAATGTAGCCAAGTAGCATGAGTGCAATTAAACATGTTGACTACACTTATTGCAGACAGGACTGCTGGAGCTTTGCCTCAGTGATTCCTTCGTAACTGTATATACAACAATGCCATAAGCCATTAGCTCTCGATAGAATGTATTTTCAGTTGCTCTCTGGCTATGCCTTAATGCAATAATTTGGTCCCAGCTGCTAACTTTCATTAACACGCTGTGTACTTTGATTAGTTTCATTAGCTGCTTTCCTATGTGTAATTAATTATGCTTCTAGTTGATTCTACTTTAATTCTTTGTATATATATTTCTCCATGTGTATTGAGCCCAGGGAGAGCAGACTTGGGCAGTTGCTGGAAGAGGTGTGGAGTCTTTACTTGCTCCTCCCAGCTCAGTTACAGAAGTTGGGATGAGGTTTTCTTTTACTTTAGTTGTTACATCTGACACTGGAGACACACAGTAGCTTTTAAGAGAACTGGGGCCAAACTACATGTGACACCATTCATGCAACTAACAGTTTCTTGCATTGCACATTTACAATGTAAGAAAAACAGTGACACTTTCTTGTTACTTATCATTGTCTGTCATCAGAAGAAACAGACGTAGACTTTAATGTTAGTTTTATATGTGTTGTTTCACATTTCCAAAGGAAATGGCAACTTACAGGCAGCTCTCCATTACGCGGGGGTTACATTCTGAGGCACCTTGTGTTTAAGTGAAACTGTGTTTATTGGGAATACCATTGAAACCCTGCAAACACCACATTCGCTCTCCCAAGTCCTCCTTGCTCAGACTCCCAACACTGCACAGGCCTCAAAGGTCGGTGCAAGGGCTTATGGGATTACTCTTGCAAAAGCTTGTGAGATTTCTGGACACTGTCTTTGTGCCATTTTGCCCCTTTTCATGCCATTTCTGGGTTCGTGGGGATGCACACCAGCGTGGTCGTACGTGCTTGAATGGGCGTAAATGGGGAGTTGCCTATATTTGAAAGCTCTTGTGCTAATTTACACTGGGTCCCCACCACCAACATGGACTCAGGCTGGACTTGCTCTCTTATAGCCCATCTGCTTCAACTTGTGGGAAACCTATCCTATTAACAGGGAGAAGATTACAAGATAGAGCAGAGTTGGAACAATCTCTTTCCTCAGACAAATCCATGCCCATTTTTCTTCAGAAATCGTTGGCCCATTTATTCCAACAAGCATTTGAAAGACTGTGCTGATGCTCCTAATGGTTCTCCCCAACACACATATTTTGATTGCTATGGGTGTTTTTAAATCAAGGAAACTGCTTCCTTTAAAAAAGGAAAAAAAGAAATCCACTCTCCCACAATAAGTCCCTTGCTCTCCTTTGGAGAAAGTTGTGTAGCGTAGACCTTTTTACTGTTCTAGTCTCTTATAAAATTTACAATCAAATATCTTTGTTAAATGAATGCTTTCCTTTAACCTTTCTTCTGATTTGTTTTCCAACATTTTTCACATACAATTGCTAGTAGCTTTTTGCATTATTTTCTACTAGGGATGGAGGAGAAATTTTATTCAGTGCATATCTAGAGCCTAATAATCTATCAAATACACACTTTCTGAAACATTGCAAACTGAAACACTATTATCCTTTGGAATTTGCACCTATCCAAATTTAGCAATTGGTTCCTCAACCAACATTTGCAAAAAATGCACATAAATAGGGGAAAGTGTGCCTTAAAAGTTGAAAATTACATATAAAAACATTATATTAGGGGAAATTTCTTGTAAAAAATGTCTGCATTCCTCAACACTGCATATGAAAATGTGTTTATTATGAGAAATTCACACTAATATGCTGATAATTATTGTGAGAGGTTTATTTCATTGCAAATTGCTGCAGAAATGTGGAGAAATGAATTTAGGACTGGAAAAATTAGAAACTTAAGAGAACCAAAATTGACAGATGCTTCCATCCCTAATTTCTGTTCTTAAACACACCTTGTACTGTCATAATGATTTTAATATTTAATATTAAAAAAGATTTGTCCCCATAACATCCATATTGCTGTTTTGCTATGGCTGCCCCACTAGTCTTGTTGGCAGCTCATAATTAGCACTTTCTTTTCTTTTTTGCTATTAATTGAATAAAACTGTTACTTACATTTCAGATTTTTAGACACTAGTCCTTTACCTCCCTGCCACTCAGCTACACAAATTCTAATTATTGTCACGAAATACAATTCTAAAAAGCATATGTCTCCTGGGTATCTCAATCTCTGCAGAATTTCCTACACATTTTGCACCCGTGCCATTTCTGCAAGTATTTTATCTACGCAGAAGATTATTTCCCCCTCTCTTATTCCTGGGCTTGTAGTCCTGATAAAGAACTTTTCATGTTCAACCTTATTGGAGGTTGGTGACTGCCACTTCTTCTTATCCATTTCTCTGCATCTAAAGAAAGGGACAGACCCATATATTATAAAGGTCTTTATCAGGGTATGAGGAAAAGAGAAGAGCACACAAAAAATTCTGGGAACAGGCTGTTGAGGCCGACAATATTTTGAGTCAAATAATTATTTGGGGGCAAATGAATCAGTTTCATTAAGAGGCATCTAAAGCAATCCTGCAAGATCTCTGTTAAAGGAGCCCCTGGCCAGTTGTCACTTTTTTTTTTGGTACTTCTATCAAATGTATCCAGTTGTCTGGCCAGTTGTCACTTTTTTTTTTGGTACTTCTATCAAATGTATCCAGTATCTGAATAAAATGGCAGTGGTCAAACCAATTCCCACTGTTTTTGTGGAGACTGTGCTTCATAAACCCCACTCTTTCAATCATAAGCCAGCATACTTCTTCTGTGAACTAATTATTGTTGCTTTTTTCCTGTAGAGCAGCAACAGAATATTTTCCCAGCCCTTCTCATTTTCTGTCTCTAAGGTGAAGCTAAACTGATGTATTCTGAAGCTAGATTTCATTGTTTGTGCCATGCTTAGTTTCAACTGTTGTGAGTTATTGTTTGCTGTTACAGAGAGCCATAATGAATTGTTACATTTTGACACCTGTCTTTCAATGTTTTCTATTCCAATCTACCAGTTTATTTATAGTCTACTCCACAGCTTGTTATTAAACATGTTTTTAAAATAATACAAAGACAGTATTCATGAATAATTTCCCTCTCTCTTTGTTTCAAGAGAATCTTACCTGGACATGAAAAATGGATATGTGAATATGGGATCTGTCCATGGTGAAAAAGTGTCTGAAATGTATAGAAAATCAAAGTCATACCTAATAACACCAAAGAGAACTGTTTATGTGAATTATTGGAGATCTTTAAAAAACCATCCGCAAGAGACTGACCAGATACAGCATTCTGCAAAAAATACCAGCTGCTATTTGTGTCATGAAGAAATAATCAATCAATCAATCAATCAATCTTTATTCCTGTCAAAGACCAGACAGCATGAAGAAATAACAAAATTTAGATATATTTATAAATAATTTGATACATGTTGTTCATTTTTTTAAATCAATAACCAGCTATATCTAAATGTACAAATGTTCCATTTCCACAATTCACTGTAATTTTAAGTAACAATTGGGGAAAAGGAAAGTGTATGAAATAGTGGAACAGAAAAGATATTAGATATGTTGTCATGAACTACCTAAGGAGTGCCCATAGTGAAGAAGGAACAGACTGCTGTTTGAATGCCTTCGTGGCCTGGTTAATTTCTTTATAGTGGTTATGGATATGGTGAATCTGGCCTGCTTTAGTTTGGTGAAGATGGTCTGTGACATACTTTGCAAACAAAATCTGGGATTCCTACTGCTACCATAGTGCCAGGCCTCTCAGAAGGAGATATTCACATTTTTGTCATATATTATTAGTGCCCATTAGATCTTTAGGTTGTGCTCTGCTCTTTGAGCCATTCATCCTTGGCCATCAGAAGTATATCTTTCATATGACAATCTTCTAAATGTGATAGATTTCATTGATAAGCTAACCCTTGACGTGTCTTCTACCCAACACTTTGTTTTTTGGGTAAGGTTGTTGTACATCCCCACTTGCATTCCAAGCATTCTTTGTCAATATTGGATAATGAGCAATAAAATTGTGGTCTGCATAATCCCTGGCTCCATACCATGGCTTCTAATGTGTGTGTCTCTAAGAAGTAGTATTAATGACTAGAAGAAATTTGATTGTGTTGGATCTTTGCCTTGCTAAGAAATAACACAACAATCTGAGGGAAACTGAGAGCCACTGTGGAAGTTAACATTTCCCAGATAGTGTCCTGTACCTGTGCTGGAACTGGTGGTATTAATGGATACAGGTTTTTCTGTGTTCCAATATGTGGTTTATTCAGTGTCTTCATTGTGTTTTGCTCAACAGAATGTGGATTTCTGTAACTGGTCAAGCTACTAATGGCTTAAATAAAGCTAGATGTTGCATGGGAAATGCAGCACAGGGTGGACACAGATTATATGTCCCATAGAAAAAGACAGATTTTAACAACATTTCTGGCACATGCATATTAAAATATGAAAATAATTATTAAATTTAAGTGTCACAGAAAGAAAGTCAGATCATTTTATATCCACATCAAATTATTTGCAGCACACACCCAGATCCCCCCAGACCTGTAGATCTTCGATTAATGTGCCCCCAATTTTTCATCCAAATAGTTTTTGAATCAGAAAACAATTGTTTTAGAATAAAATTTAACAGCTGGACCTGTATTGTTGCTGGTGCTAAGGCATGGGAACCTCTTTGGCATAAAACTTCTTTGTTGTCTTTAAGGAAGATTTGAAATCCTTGAATAATATGGGTGCATGGGCAGGGAGAGTTTGAAGTGGTATCCTTCCCAACCTTGCTTCATCTGAGTAAATTCCACAAACTATTCTTATTCTCCCCTTTTATCATTTTCTAAATAATCTGGTCTACATTTTAAAGCAAACTAACTGAATTCACACCTTCCTGACACACATACATATTTATGAACTAGCATAATAATACTTTGGAATTCACACTTCTCTGAATTTTTGGCTCAAAAACCACCAAAATGTGTAAACAGCTACATATTTTGGGGTTAAAAAAATGTAGAAATGCATACATCTTGTGACAAAATGGGTATTTATGGATATTTTAAATATGATTTTGAAAACATGGGATGGAACAGACTTATTGGTGCATACACAATTTACACAGACCAGAAACTGAGCAGTCTATCCATATACAAAGGAGTGGGTGTCCTTTGTGCTACCATTCCCAAGGGAGATTCCAGTGCCATCATGGACACATACAAATACTATGCGCACAGTAGATATGTTGTCTGCCTTATCTTGCTCTAGATCAGTTCTTGATTGACATGGAAATGTGGTTTTCATTCAGAGTCAAAGAAGCTCAGTCAAAACGGAACGTCTTCAACGTACACACTGTGCAAAGTATGAGTTTATGAGAATGGATATATCTTGCACATGTATGTTATTGTATTCCATTCAAATGTGATTTGGGTTTTTCCAATAGTTATATCTAAACTTTTTTGTCTTTCCAATCAGGCCAATGAAAATTTGCTTTCAAGTTGCTTTGACAATATCTGGTTTCAACCTAACAGTATGCAGAAACCGTGCCCCACCTCCCCCTAATTTCACTAATATTATAAAACTCCAGGCTTTTTATAATTCCTCAGATGTTTCATCGGCTTTGAATTTCATTTTAGATGACATTTTGGTGCCAATTCTTTTTCTAGAACCCATGTTACAGGTTCTGTTATTTCAGTTCACAGTAAAAATAGAGGCATGTAGCTTTAGTCTTTTTATCTGAATTTTCATTGAGCTTTCCAGTAGATGGCAGCATAAATTCAGTCTTTCTAAAGACTACATTGGATAAATTGCAAAGAAAATGTCCCTTAATTGTGAAGGAAATGTTAATAGATGTCCAGAAACACAGTCATTAAGATGCAGTTTGCTAAAGGTATCCTTGTTTGAAGGTGTCTCCAAATATTGGATTTTAGTGTTAATAAACAATTGGGCGGATTTGTAGAGAACTGTACTTTTACAATAATAGAATTTTGCAGTTACCTGTAAAATGAATGTTTGTTTGCCTGACCTGGATTTTCATTTTCATTTTTCTCTTTTTTTTTTTTTTTTACAAAAAGCTTGATACTGTGTAGCAGGAATGAACACAACAGGGGAAATGTAGCTGTTTTTTGTTTTGTTTTTAATAGATGATATTTACTTTAAAGATCGACCAGCAAGCTATGATGAATCGTTGTCGTTACCTACAGGAAGTATTTAATTCAGATTCCATTAGCAGCATATAATTTGAAAAGTCCTCTTGCTTTAACAGGGGGAGGATTATTCAAATAATTAAAATATTCCACACCTTAATTCTGGGAGCTAATACCATCAAAACAGTGGACTTCCTACACTCTGCCTTCTGTGTGCATGAAAAAGGGAGCCACAGCAACGGGGCAGTGGGGGCATTTCTCCTAAATGCACATAAAGCAAAATAAAACTGTTCCTCACATGTGACAATGCACATGTTGGATCCAATTTCTTGCACAGATGTGGAGTAGGAAATACATGCTGTGCAAATTGAAGCTCTAATGCTTCTGACCACCTGAACCTCAAAAACAATGTCAAAAAACTCCTGTTCTGTGTCAGTAAAATGTGTTAAGCAAATATGATGATCTTGTCAACCTGATCACCTCGGACTGTTAACCTGTGTGATAGTGATCACATTTACCAGCACCACCACACCAAACTGGAAGTTCAGGAGGCACTTAATAGGATCTGGCCTCTTCCCTACAGCAGAAGCATGCATGTCTGATTCACTTTTTGTTATGGTGTCATTTAGAATTTCAAGTAATTTAATTTCTGCCAACAGGCACATAGCCTCTCTTTGGTTCCCACTATTTATTAAGCTTGAGGAGCCACGGGAATCATAATGGATTTAGTAAAGGAGCCAAGATTCCACCTTTTGTTTAGGGTGTGTAAGGAATGACCAACCTTCATCCTATTGCTGGGCTTGAATATTTTATCCTAACCTATGAAGCCCTGAACAACTTGGGACCAGGCTACCTGAAAGATCACCTTACCCCTGTATGATCACTTTAGTCACCACGAAAAATTCTGCTCACAGTACTGCCACCAATAAAATATCATAGGACTATGACCCCCCCCCAAAATGGAATTTTCTGCTATTGCCTGTATATTAAGCACCATCCATCAGTTGCTTTAGATGTCTTACAAGGACATAACTTTTGGTTCAAATTTTCCCGGACCCCAAAGAGCAGACCCTGTTTTATGTATCTTATTGGTTTTATGTTGTAATTCTATTTCGAGGATACTGTTCATTGTTTTTATGTTGTACACTACTTAGGGCTCTCTAAATCATTAAGTGGTTTTTTAATGCTCCTGATTAAATAAGTAAACAATCTCTCTCCCTCAGCCTGTTGTGGTTCAAGCCATAGTTTCCTTTTCATTGTCCTTCCTGAGGAGCAATCTATTGCAGTGATTTTTTTGTCGTTGAAAAATGTTATAAAGTTTCTCTCTTTGCACCTCAGGGCAGCAAAATTACTGAAAAGGGGTAAGGATAAATGTCCAGGTTTTATTTCAGCCAAGGCAACAATGCTGTTTACCTTCCAGTCCTGCTCCCTGTCCTTTTGAAACCCGCCTCTGAAAACAGCACTAATAGTCATGTTATATTGTTGACTGTATAAACAAGAAGGCGCATGGGGAGAGCTGAGATCTGGTAAGAGCAGTCTCTCATGAATTTCACAGCTGATAGGTGGGAAAACAAGAAACTCAGAAATGCATCTTATGCTATGAAACATATACTAGCTTGGGTTTGGCCTGGTTCCCGAGAAACACATATGTGACTCTAGTCTTAAGATAAAAACAAGATCTGCCTCATCTTGTTAGCTAGCCTGACTTGGGCAATCTTTTAGCTAGGGTTGCCTGGGACTGGGCCTAATGCCCTTTTTCATTAAAACCACACACTCATCACAGAGCTATGGTCCTCCTATGGCATAGTACTTTTACTCTGTCACATACAAACCATTAGCTCCTCCTTCAGCCTAGATGAAAGGGTGTCTTTTACCACAGATGACCCTAACGAAGCACCACAAAACACAAGACAAGGAGTGAAGACAGATGTGACATTTGTGCAGCAGGGAGGCCAACCTGGAAGCACCTTAATTGTGCTTAATCCAAATAGGCATTTCCTTTCTAGGGCTCAGTTCTGAGAAAACTATTTCCTGAGGAGAAGGGCCCACTCCCTGGTTTGCCCAGAGCCCACATCTCTTTCCTTGAACTCTTTGCCACCAGGTCCACAGATTCATCCACAGACTTCTCAAGAATCAGAGCCCTGAGGAAATACTGCCTCAGATTAAAATCCCAGGGCCTAGAAGAAGCCAGTAGTTGCAGAGGAAGGCCTTTAACTGGACAGATGCAGTGTTGTGGGTGCGGCCTCTAGTTAAGGTATAACTAATGCAGGCTACGAAGAGTTCCCAGTTGCTCCAGTATACTGCTGAGGTAAAATGTATATTTTGCTTCAGCTGCAGGATTGCCAACCATAGTGCTGAAAACCACACTTAGGTCCCTCTCCAAGGTTCTGATGAAGGTGCCTTGCCTTTCTGTCTGCCTGGAACAGGGTTAACTCTCCACTGCTTGAGCCTTCACCAATCCATGGTGGCCAGCATCCCTACTTTTCACAAAACCTTCAGCACTGATAGCTGAAACTGCATTTGAATTGCTACTTTTCCTGTCATTTTAACAGTGAAGCTAAAAATTAGTCCTCTTTGCACATTAGCTTTAGAAACCTGCCCATGGTCAAAGCCACAATTGAGCAAAACACTTTTTTTTAAAAAAAAAAGAGAGAGAGAAGAGCTACACGTGGTGATTTTCTTTCTTAAGAGCAGCATAATACAGGTGCATACAACTTGTGCACAGGTACGAAATAACATTTGAACAGCCCCTGTGTCTTTGGACAAGTCCTAATGTATGACCAGGATTGTGAAGGGTAGTTGAGGTATCAAACCCAGCAGCAACAAGGATTATGCAAAGAAGTAGTAGCTTGCTGTGCTCTTTTCTTCCTTTTTTTTTTCTTCCTTGGCAATCCTAGCAGCAAGACA